CCCGGGATTCAAACTCAGGACCTCTCACGCTTGACAGGCAACATGTTAACCTTTTAGCTACAGAGGCGGTCATATGTAGACACATTTACAATAAAAAATTAAAGAGACAATTTAAAAAGCTTGTCGTGCGTCACGCTCTATTTGTAAGGTAGAAGTCATTCGGATTAAGAGTTTTTTTCTCAATTGAACCGGTTAGAGGTACCTCTTTTTGTACGACTTTTTTGTTGATTAAAGTCTCAGACAGTACGTCTTGTGTAACACAAAGTTACAGTCGAGTTTGATTAAAACAACGATTAAAACACGAAATCTATTAGTTAGCTTATTGATAATTATTTTTTACGTTTCCGATGTTTTGCAGCAGCCGTGGTCACGGAGGTATAATATATTTTACGTTTTAAATCGTTAGTATTTTACTCAAAATATCAACATGTTTCATAAAAAATATAAATTTATTAGAAAAAATGTTGGGCCCACGTGGGGATCAGAAGCCACGACTCGTTGTTATTAGCCATACATTGCTACCATTACCCCAACGACTCCGTCAAAATATTAAATACATACTTATACAAGCACTTTATATTAACGTAAAATCAGGTTTTATTATTTAAATCGGGGTTTGACCCCGTTAACGATTAGTAAAGTTAAAGATATGCAAAAAATAAATGCTATCGAGTTTCCATATAAGATTTCAACGAGCTTTCCGGCGCTCCAAGGCTTCTCTGCGGTTCCACGCGGTTCTCTGAAAGTTACCCAATATGACACAGGTGGTGGTATTTTAATTACCTTCCTTGTTGCTGGTATGGGGTGAGGTGAGTCATGAGTAAATCAAGGCAGTGATTGTGAAATTTTCCTCTCAACAAGTATCTTGGCTTAATTCTTCTATATTTAAATCAAATAATGTCTCGCCCAACTGTATTAATAGTAATAATATATATAGTACATAAAATACTATATTTTTCGACATCTTAATATAATTAACAATCAAATCCTTAAATACTGTCTATAGTTTACGTGAGTAGTACACATTTAAATAAACCATTTAATTTTTTTTTAAAATAATAAATGGAGTTTCCTACTATATGATTTTCGTATTAATAAACAGTAATCATTTTAATAAAAAAATAACTTAGTCATCAGTTACCAATGAATAAGTAGGATGTGATTAACATTATGTAGAACAAGTAAATAATTACTTCTGTGAATATTCCAACACCTGCAGCTTTGTCATGACATCACATTTATATCTATTTTTTAATGACAGACAATACGCTTGAATCATTTTTCTTATGAATAAACACAATACATGCATATAATTAATAAAAAAGCTTATATTACAAATTTATATTGGAAAATGTATGATGGGGCGGGATTCGAACCACGACTCTAACTCAGTAGTTAGAGGATACTGTTATGACCCTGTAGTTGTGGATGCAAGTATTATCTTAAACTCGAGCTACAGAGTCTATTTTCACAAAACCACAGTTGCTGTAAAGTATTTTGGATGTCGCGTTCTGTCAGAATAAATAAACAATTGTTTTGTGTTTTAAATTGTTAAATTTATTTTTATTTAACGTGTACAAGTCACATAAATTACGGATAAAATAATCTTTCACGTTTTAAACTGTAAAAATTTGTATTAATAAATGTGTACAACTCGCTTAGATTACGGAAAATAACTATTATTCCGCGTTTAAAACTGTTAAAATTTGTTTTAGTCAATGTGTACAACTCGAGTTAATTATGGAAACAACCTATTCTTTCACGTTTTAAACAGTTAAAATTTTAATTAAATTTATACATTACTCGCGTAAACAGAGAATTCTTCGAGTAATAGGAGGGCGGTTTCGCTAACCTTTCCATAATTTATAGACGATAATCGTCTTATCGAGACGGCTGTAATTCATTCGTGTCGCAGTAACATTTCTTTCTGCTAATTCCTCGGTTCAAGGTCCCATGTAACGGTAAAAGATTCGTTTAATATCCGTCACCGGAAATCCGCTTTATTTACATATTGCGTTCTACGCTTGGGCGGCGCCCAGGCTTTCTATGGCGTTTGGCCAGCGTTTGTTTGTCATGGCATACAATTTTGTGCCGTAGTTACTTTCTTTTTAAAATTAAAATGCCAATGTTATAAATTAATTAAAGTTAAAAATTACTTACAAACAAGTTTAACTAAAATATATCGCGTTTCAAACCGCTAAAACGTGCTATTTAAATACATATTATATATATATCATACAGCTGAAAAGTTTGTTTGTTTGAACGCGCTAATCTCAGGAAATACTAGCTTGAATTTAAAAATTATTTGTGAGTTTGATAGACCGTTTATCGATAAAGATTTTTTGATTATATTCACAGAAACAGTGAAAAATTGTAAAAGATTATAGTGCGCGTGCGCTACTAAAAATGAATTTTTATTAAATCTCAGTACCTGTTATCTCCCTTTTAAGACTCGTAAGAACGACGGGATGGACGAGGACATGGGTAATAGCTAGTAATATGTTAGGGCAGAGCAGTAAGTGACGTGTCATAAAAAGATACATTATATTCCATGAAACTTAATCGTAGATTTCTGTTTATATGCGAAAGGTAACAATTAAAAAGACATTAAGTGAAGGCTGTAATTTGGGAAACAAAGTTGATTGTATCTGTTTCTATAGAGATAAATATCACAAGTTCTATTTTCGGTTCCAAGTTTCTAAGACAAGCTAGACACATAACAAAACAATGGCATATAATTTTCAATCTGTATTCTTGTTATAATATAAATGTTGTGTATTGTCTGTGGTTTAAGTATTATATAAAAATAAATCCATCTACGGTACACAAGGATAATTATATTAGTCAACTTATTTGAAAGCATTGCGTGTAGTTTACACGAGTAGCACACATTTAAATTAAAGAATTTTAACGGTTTAAAACGCGAAATGTTAATGTAACTTATTTTTAATTTAATGTACAGCCTGACCTTCCATATTTAGTCACCCCGTCACCACGGCATCTAAACGTCAGGACATAGTTACATTAAATTGAAAATACGCATTTACCGTTGAAATTGTATTTTTAAGTTTGTTTTGACAACTTTATGCGCAAGACGCGATACTGACACGCATAAGAAAGGTTCGGAATAAATAGTATTGACTAGGAAATTGTACTAGAACATTTACCTAGTCAATAGTACCTTTTACCTGCCTTTCAATCGACGTCAGTACGTCGATTGAAAGGCAGGTAGTGTTTTTTGGTATAGCCAGTCTTCAAGCGAAATTTTATTTCGCTTTAGTATTTTTTGTTTTCTTAATAATTTGTGTATAATGAAACTCTCTAGTTATGTCAATTCTTAATGGTCTATTTAACTACCTTCCGAAATCCAAAAAACGATATAAACGAGTCTAATAGAAGTCAGCCGGTAAAAATTAGGACAGTAAGGACAGTATTTTACAATCGTCATATCATTACAGATGTTAGCAAGTACATAGTAACGACGAACGTGTTATCTACATGTGTTTGTAATCCGGGGCAATAAATACCCACCCAATTATTGCTTATGGACGTATCGTTACCAAGGTTCAACTTTATTGTGTCAAATATCTGATATTAAGGATTTATCAGTAGTATCTTTTCAGTACCATTTGCATTACATAGTGCTTTTCTTTACTAAAGCTTGTAATATTCAAGAAAATAGTAGAAAAACAAAGTGTCTATAGTCGATGTCGCGCATGTAGTAAAACTGGCTAAGTGCGAGTCGGACTCACGCAAAAAGGGTTGGTTAGTGCATTTATCGAGGAAGGTTTTAGACTATACTATGCTGCGACCAATAGGAGCGAAGTAATAATAGGGATATATGGAAATAACGACACATGTATGGAAATATGATTCTTCTTTAAATTATCTCAAAAAATGTGCGCGACTGTATCTTGTGTCGTCTATCTTTCAATATAGCGAAAGTTATGGGTAAATATTTGGCGTTTCGGGTGCTTTGTAGCAGCTGTGGTCACGGGGAGACTAAAAATAATTTTCAAATAAGTTTAACTAATATATCGCGTTTTAAACCGTCAAAGTATTTTATTTAAATGTGTACTAAACTATAGACAATATTATACTGAATTATCGAAAATTCTGCCGAAAGTAATTTCGTGTGCGAACAAAGCCAATTTCATATTAAAACAAGAACGTTTTATCCAGCCCAGGAATTTCTGTTTTAGATATTACCCACATTAAAAACATATATTATTTGTAACTAAGATTTATAGATCGTTGCTGTTAAGGGACTATTTGAATCCTAATGGATTCAAATGATAATATCAATATTACTAATAGCATTTCCAATTAATTTATTTCTAGCCGCGCTTACATTACTTAATGAATTCATTTAACTTTGTTTGCAGTTCTTGAAGTACACTTATCGTGTGATACACAATCTAATTTAAAAAATGGATGTCAAATGTGTATGAATAAAATTCTCAACGTTTTGAACATAGTAGATACAATATTTATTCATTAATTTATCACTTCCAATCTAATGTAAACACGTTCTTTAGCTAGACAAACGTTTGCCTACATATACGTAACTTATGTAATATTAATTGCAAATCTTTTAAAACCATTTTATAAAACTTTCTTTTTATTTAAACTGCGAGTTCTTTTTAATCAATTGTTTTAATTATTTATCTTATCAATGTACCTGGTTTAACTAATAAGCACACTCAAGAAATAACTCTAACACTAATCGAGATATTAACAAAGTCTTCAGATTGTCAATTGAATACATTGTTAGGGAACTGTTTAATAATGTTAGCTAAAAGAAAAATACGATAAAAAAGCAATGAACATTTTAGAAATACATGTTGATTTTGTATAATACTTGCTGTGTATATATTCTATTTTATACAAAATGTTTGTGACTTTTAAGGAATAAATAAAATATTTTGAATCATTATTATTTCAATGAACAGTGTTTATGATTGGAAATATCATTCGTCATAAAAAATAAAGGTACTTACGCGATCTAGATTCCTTTTTAAATCACCAAACTATAGCACAGCACTAGATGCGTTTTTATTTTCGATGTTTATATTTTTTTGGTTTATATTTAAATAATACAACAAAAATATTATACAACTTTGCAGCAGTCCGCCGCGCGTTTCGACGTCGTTTTGAACTTTGATTGTTATTTTGAACGAGCCGCCAAGTGCTAGCTTCGTTTGAGCGGGAAACAAGACCTTTTCTGTACTAGCGCCATCTATGTGAAAGTTTCTGAGTGTATCAGAGGAGGCGCTGCCATCTAGTGATAAGTGGAAGGAAAATAATTAATAAAATAAAAAACAACGAAAATATAAAAGTAGTTAAGTGTAATACTTTAGGTAATGTAGGAACATGTAACGAACAAGGAAGTTTAAGAAATCGATGAAATATTCTGGGGACGTATAGACCCTCTTGTAGCAAATAAGTAAGCTAATAGTAATGTCATATTTGAAAACAAATTACTTGACATCTGGTAAGCCATGCCATAAACCTAGCAAAACTTGTAATAATAAAATTCTTTGTTCATTTTGCCGGTTTCCTTTGAGTAGAAATATAAGTTTTTAGTATTTTGTATCTTCGTCTCTCAACCGCTGGCAAGTATTATTAACTTTTAGTGGGTTTAAAGTGACCATTTGTTGATATAATAAAAGGAAAAAAAAAATTGCATCATAAAAATTTTACTGTTTCTATAACAAACGATTCATGTGTAAAGTACATTTGTACAGAGATTTCCAGCTTAATACATTTTGAAATAAAGAAAATAAGATTTAAGTGAAGTTCCTACAAAGTTAAGACAACCAAACACTTTTACAAAGAAAAAAGAAAAATAAAATGCAAAATATTTAAACAAAGGTACAATAGTAAGTTGATTTGTGTACATCACGTTTTAAAATTGATCATTTAATAAATCTTAAGCACTAATAACATAATCCACAAATCCTAAATAAACGACACTTAAATGAATTCTATATAAGTTTTACAAATCATTATTTCATTGTCTAGTATTTTAATGAAAAACTATTATTTCATACACAACTTCATTAGAGTCTAGTTATTACTAGTGCGGTAAAATTATTAAAGGCTAGACATAATAACATAACTTAATCGGCTCCAATGTCACACCTTGTTGGAGTTGGTTTTTCTTTTTTAGACGCTTCCACACTGTCATCTGGAAGGAGTCAATTCATATTAATAAGTATATAAATAGTCGCAAAACCGAGTACGGAGACTAACTTTTATGTTGAACTTCAGTCGGTTCTTAGTACATGTTCGTTGTTATTATCAAATAAAGTAGTTAATTACTGAAAATATTTTTTTCCACGTATTTTGAACGCAGGATCTCCCGCGAGCCTTAATAAGGTATGATCTAACCATTGAACCATGAAAACAATAAGCAAAAACTCTTCCCCACTTTTGGGCGTTGTTAATTTAAGTCTCCCCCCATACTCCCACAGGCACTCTCTACTGATCTGGTAGAACTAAAATTAGTGAAAAACATACCTTTGATTAGTGCGCTGGGTTGTGTGGGCAATTTCACACCGGGCCTCAAGACCATGGTGCCATCCTGTTTAACAAAACAATAAAAATATTATATAGTGAAGTGAGTATATTTATTTTTCTCATAGAGGACAGAGAGGCCTCGACACGTTGATTGTTAGCCAAACATTGCTACTATTAGACCAATGAGCCCGTAAATTCAAGCCAAAAAGAAACACCTTCGTCATTTGAGAGCCAGCTTAGACTCCACTAATCTAATGTCCCTCCGAGGCACAGCATTGCATCTCCTACTTAGACTGGGAATTGGTACTAAAGATGTTCTTGGAAAAATTTAAACCTTGTGGTTACCAACTAAAGTTTTACCCAGGATTCCAAATTTGCACCTAATCTATTGTCCTATTCACAATAAGAATAATGCTATAGTTGTATACCGACCTTCAACTCAAGTAGACCTTGCTTGGCCATTGCTTCCATGTCAGCTTTGGTCACAACGATTTTTTGGACTTTCACAAGTTTCTTGCCAATCTGCATTTCACACCTTTCAGCTGGAGCTGAAAAAAAATGAATGTGTATTGCTCTTCTTCTTCATACGGAAAACAATTATCCTCTTTGGTAGCTAGGTAATTAAAACTAAAGACTATACATTTACTACTAGTTCTCAAATCAAGGGCGTAGAACGGGCGAAAAGAACTGGCAATAAACTCGCCGTCACTCCTTTTATCGCCAAGTTTCATTTTACATTCTTGATTTCACTTTTAGTGCACTACATATTTTTCCATGTCAGAGCGGGTTCCTCCACACCCCAAGCATTTTTATAATTTAAATATTGATAATAACGCCGCGGTTCGAAACCATTCATGTCTGTTTAGCAGATTCGCTTCATTATTTTGTGTCACAAGTAAACTGAGGAAGAAACTAACAAAATGCTAAAGGGGACTTGAGAGAGGGGCCATATAAATTCTCTTTCTGACTGATCCCCCGGCGATTTAAGAGAAAAATAAAAATAATATATAACCCATGCCTACATGCATACGTCTTTATTGGATAGGCCTTCTAATAACAAATGCATAGGTGATTAAGATTACTGTAAAAAAATTAAAGCTATATTGGTTTGCATGGTATCGTAAATGAGTCCCTATTATGTTGTACAAACAGATTAGTGTCACTTGTATTATAGATGTGTAAATACTTACATCTCGCCTGTACTGGTAAAGGCAACGGTTTGACTCCAGGTGGCAACCCCTTGATTTGAACCTGTGTAGTAAATATTCATAGAAATAGATAGCATAAACTAATAATTAAACATGTATTTTTTAAAAAGTTATTATTTATTGAAAATGTTGTTTTTAGATTAATACAATATAATTGGCAAAATATTTATTCAACATCACACAAGGGATGCGGATTCTCATGATTGTGGTTAGGAGTTACTGTTACATATGTATCCTGTATTTATAATAGTTTTATTAAAAATCTTTATGCAAGTAGCATACCTTCTTTAACGTTTGAACCCGCCTCGTAGGAGATTGGGATAAATCACTCGGTGATTTCGTATCACTTGTAGTAGATTCAGATTTAATTGGTGTCTAAAAAAATATTCAATATTGGTTATACTCCTTATTAATTAAAGTTAAACATTTTAACGGCTTAAAACGTGAAATATATTAGTGAAATCTATTTTTAGTTTATTTTACTAACAGCCTAACGATATGTTGCTTTTTAAACCGTTACAATGTACTACTAGCGTAAAATACAGAAACTACTTAAGCATTGGTCATGTTTCAATTTGGTACTATTCTGATAGAAAGAAATTCTTGCAAACAAAAGCTTTTTAACTGTTTAAAACGCGAGCTATAAAACGTAACTAAGACTTGACCATCCGGAACCGTTATACAAGTCAAGTCACGGAGATTTTTGAGAAATAAACTGATATAGTTAGTGTTTTAAATATTTTTTGTATAATATGTACCACTCTTGTACAGTAACAGCCTAAAGGAAGTGGTTTCTCGACTTATTTAATGTGAGAACAAATATGTTTAACAATTCGTTACCGAAACAGTTGATGGTGGAATTTTTTCACTCTTCCTTCCAGTATCAGATTTCTCTTCAGGATCTTGACTTGCCGTTTGGCTACTTATATTCTCTTCTTTTTTCACTTTCTCCGGTCTGAAATTACATAATCAAAACTATAGCTAAATTAAAATACAATACGGCATATAATTGATGTAATACAAATTTATTTTCCAAATAAAATTTCGACAAGAATACTTAAACATTTACACATTTGGCCTTTAGGTATACAATCCCCCCCTTATATATTTATTTGAGTTTAAAAAGAAGAAAAGTCAGATAAGAAAACTCACACTTCTTTGTGGGCGTCCTTGCGTGGTCGCCCCCTCTTTCTGGGTGTAGGCGTAATCGCTGGACTTGTCGACGTAGGCGCAACGACTGTTGGAGTTTTTGGTTTAAAACTGGGTCGCCGCTTCCGCGTCTAAGAAAACAAGAAGTCAAAATCAGTCTTTTTATATGACTTATCAACAAAAATTGGATACCATTTATGTATTTATTTATATATCTTAGAAAAACTTACAGCTAATGAAATAAAGTTAGTCAATTACAAATTTCCACAATTATTAAAAGTAATTCATTAATTAGTACTTTAAAAATGGTAAGAAAATAAAATATGTGAACAAGAAGAAACTATATCAAACGACGTTTTAAAAAAATAGAATAAAACCTATTAGTAAAAAAAAAACCATTTTAAATTTATACATTGTCTTTTTTATTGTGAGTATATAATAATGTATCTAGCTTCCGCACAATTTTAGTGATATCTATTTGCTTTTCTTTTATCATTGACCTACCTCATTTATTTCGCGTTTTGAACCGTTAAAATGTTTTATTTAAATATGTACAACTCGCGTAACCCACAAACAATACTAAGCCTAAAGTTAGTTACCTCCGAAGGAATCTCTTTATATTCCTCTTCTTCTTCCGTATCCGAATACTCGTCGCCATCGGAGTCGTCCTTCGAGTGATCGCGGACCATTTTAGCGTAGTCCTTGACGCGAGACGGACGCGTCGACCGACGAATACCTTCGTCGTTGCCTTTTTCACTTGCACCGTTCTTCACTACGTTCTGATCGAAAGGAATTGTGGAATTAGTGAAATCCTCCGTGGGGCATGGGGCAAACACATTTCTCTTTCACAGATCGGTTACAGGCAGTTTAAACTTCTACGCCCTGCCCGACCGAAACAATCTATCGTTGCCCCGGAATTGTATTAGTCAAAACTTTGAAATAATAGTATGATTATTACTACTACAGGCATTTATATCACCTTCAGTGCTTCTTTGTCTTTCTTCTCCTCTTCTCGAATGCTCTCATCGTTCTTCCCCTCCTTCTGTGGCTCCTTATTCTCCTTCGTGACACGTCGCTCTTGTTTTTTATCCACCGATAGTGACTTGTACGTTATTGGTCTTTTCTCGTCGATTGACCTAACCAATTATTGCATTTAAATACGAATAAAAATGAAAATACAGAGAGGTCACATAAATTTAACTTACCTAATTTTTGACGTTGGGGCGAAATATTGAGGGCGCTTGTTTTTGGGAATATTGTCGCTTTTTGAAGACATCGTTTTTGGAACATCGGAACGACTGTTTGTCTGTAAAATATAAAAATATTGTTTATTATGCGAAACACTTGGATGTGTGGGGGTTGGGGGTTTATTTATAACTCTCCCTAATCCCTCCGCCTAATTCATACGTGAAAAATTATGTGTCTTTGGCTTTTATTTAATATTTGAATAGAAATAGGCTTAGTATAGAGAACATATTATTATTATTTTCTATCGGGGACACCTTCGGCAGGACGGGTGATCAGTCCACGTTGTCCGCTGACCATTTCACCCATTTCCCCATTTCCTCCTTGCAGAGATTTGGGTCATCCAACTCTTCCCGTGTTCCCTTCAAACCTTCCGGTTTGCTTGCAGAATCTTATTATTTTTTCCATCTGTGGTTCTTTAATGTCTTCTACTGTGACTTCATCCGAGCCCATATGCATTTGTCTTAGCCTCGAGTATGCAGAGCATTCAGTGAGTAGATGGATGCTTGTTTCCTCACTTTCTCTGCACTCCGGACATAGGGGTTCGCTACCTATACCTATCATTGTAAGATGTCTGTTTAGACGGCAATGTCCTGTTATAATTTCTATGATGAGTCGGATGTTCGCTCTCGTCAGTCTCATCAGGTTTTTGGTCTTCTTTTTATCTAGGCTATGTATGAACATTTTCGACTGTCTCATGATGTATAGAGAACATATTATTTGTATGTTTGTTTATATAAATTTAGATATCGACTATTCAGTATAAATAAAAGTATACAATCATAGGCTACCACTGATACCGTAATACACCTGACAAAGCCCCTACTTTTATATTTTAATAATCTTGACAAATTATTACTATTTGAATGAGACTCACCCGTTTCAGATCTTGCAGCTCCTTTTCAAGAAGGCGCAGAGACTTATCGCTGTAACCTACAGTATTACTCGTTTCTACTTTGGTAATTTTTTCTTTTTTGTTTGGTTCTGGAATAGTGATAAACATATTTTGTCATTAAAAAAAAAGAATTGATTACTTATACCCCATACATATAACATCAAAACAAGCTATGCTGTCCATTTTGGCTTAGGATATGATAAATTATAAATTGATTTGAAAATGTTGGACCCGGTGTTGATCAAACCAGCGGACAGCGGCGAGCCCATTAAAATACATTTTAAAATGCAATACGTTAGTAGATTTGTATAAACGTGACATAGCTAGTTGTGAAGTAATGTTTTCCCTGTGTATAGAGAAATCAAGATGTAAATATGAAAAAAAAAAACAAGTTTTAAGACCATAAATAGTTACTAACCAGCTTCAACCACTGGCTCTATTTTGCGTTTGACTTCTTCGCTCTTACGTCTTATGATGTCCGACTGTAAAATATAATGTACAATGTATTAAATAGATTGTAGGCTGACTACAAAAAAAGACCCTATGTGCGGCATTACAATTTAAACACTAACGATTGATAACGACAAACGGTTAAAAATAATATATATTTAAGTTATTTCCACTTTTACCGTTCGAAGATATATAAAGTACAATTTTGTTGGTGTTAGAATTTTAAAAAGGTCGTCAAATGAAACTCTTCGAACGGTTTTAAAGAAGTAATATATTGGTTGATTTATTGACGAGTTCTTAGTGACTACGGCTACTCCAAGACACCAGAAACGTCGCATCGTAGTTAAAAATAAGTCAACTTATATTTCGTGTTTTAAACTGTTAAAGTATATTTTAATTTCAATGTACACTACAGACTATATTTGAGACATCTACTGACCTCAGAATTATCATTTTTGATAACATTCGCTTGTTTGGCTACCTTCACTTGTTTCACCAATATATTGCCAGAGGTTGGGGGCAGCACATGTTGTGACAGCACAGTAATATGTGACTTCTTCTCTGGCTGTGGCCTGGACGTTAACACCGGCTTCAATGTCGCCATTTCAACAGCGGTAAGCGAAGTAACCGCACTTGGTTCTGCAGCAGCAGAGACTTCATCATCTTAAATATGAGAACATATTTTTTAATTAATTGAATATTTTAAACTTTAACATATAAAAAAAACGACACGGGCAGAATTTGAATTGGCACATTGTGAGTGAATGTTTATAATAATACTTGACGGGTTCGTTGGTTTAATGGTACCGATATGACTAATATTCAACGGGTTGCCAACATGAGTCCGATCTTCACCGGGTCCAAAGTTTCTAATCAATTAATATAATTTTTATGAAACATGTTGGACTTCGTCTGGAATTCTGCATATTGAATGGTTGGTAGGAGTATCGAAATTCCGTTTCTCATGTAGTCAAGATTTTATATGGCTGGCGTATTTCACCTTACATCAAGTGAAGTCCTATCCTTGTCTGACTGCATTGAATATGAATTACAAGCAATTTTTTTTTTGTTTGTTTCTCTTACCTTGACCACAACTGTCGTCTAGTTTATCTTCATACTCGTAATCAGCATCTTGCGGCGCCTGTCAGTCAAAATAATATATTTATTACAAGGTCTAGCTATTAAAAAATTCTATCGTCATACTATTTAGATTGAAAAAGAAATCAACACGAGCGAGAGTTGAACCGGCATCCACAACGTTCCGTGCTGCGGCTCTAATCCATTGAGTTGCCGTCTCACACATCAATGTCGAATTTTTGCAACTATTGATATAATATGTACGTTTTGCGCAAGAGCAGTACGGAACGCTGTGGATGCCATTTAAACAGACTTTTTTTTACCTAAATAGATTTTTAATTTATATAATTCCATCATGTGCATTTACATGTGAAAAATATTAAAGCTTTTAATGTGTTTTGTTAGACAATGTTATGTACAGGTAAGTACATAATAAAATACTTCTTATTTACCCCGAATTAAAACCCAGAACCTCTAGTCTCTAACTTTTGTTTTAAACTAAGCACTAATTTAATAATTAAGAATTATTTTATTACAGTTCAGTCTTACCATTAAATTATCAACTTGGGATTTATTTATTTCAATTACCATGTCACCTCCAACTTCCTTAACTGCAAGAAAACAAACCAAATTAAAAAATATATATATTTTTATCGGTACACTTGTGAACGTCAATTAAGTTTAAACACAAGACGGACGAAGAAGAATTGGCAAGAACCTCGCCGCCATTAGTGTAATAAAATATATACAAGTTATATAATATGTCTCGCGTTTTAATCCGTCAAAAGGGTTTTATTTGAAGAAAGATTCTATAACACGCACCTTGTATGCCATTATCATCCTCGTCTTCGCCTTCAGCTTCCATTGATGACTCGCCTTCTCCCAAGTCCTGTGTATTTATCAATATTTATTATGTATTTTTCTTCGTAACGAAACTTGGTTCTGATGGTCAATAAATATAACAAAGTTAAAATGATTAAATCTTGACAATTGCATTTAATAGAAAATTTTAGACAAATAAATAGTTGACACCGGGTTATTATAGCTCGGTTGGTTGGAGACGACAAAACGTGGTCGTGGATTCGAGTCCAGCCTGCGTGATTTTTAAACATTATTATTTTTCTCTTGGCCGCCTCTGTAGCCAAATGGTTAAACGTATTGCCTAGCATTGCGTTAAGCGCGAGAGGTCCTGGATTCGAATCCCAGGGAAACATAAAATTGTTTCGGTCAGGCAGGGCACAGTCTGATCAACTAATTGCCCGTTAAAAGAACGGATCAGTGAAACGGACACAGAAATGTGTTTGCCCCATGCCCCACGAGGGGGAAACGGGCTTCTTTTTTTTCTCATCGTATATAAGATTTTTATTTTATAAATGTTTTAACATGTATGTAAATTATGAATAATACATGAGATTATACGAACATTGTTGATTTCTTCTTCGTGTGCGTACATTATGTGGTTTTCGTACTTCTCCTTAGTAGTGAACACGAGTTCGCAAAATTCACACATAAACTCCACACCTGGAATTTAACAGCAAATTAAGGAAACTACAAACTGAAAAAAAAAACACAACAAAGAACACGCGCTTAACACTGTGTTACAGCCGAATAAAACTCGCCGTTAATACACGACGTAAAATTAAATAACTTTGTTAGTGTCACCTACCCTCATATTTAAAAAAAATAAGAGTGTAATTTAATACATATAAAAAAGTTTATTGACGAAGAGAACGAGGATGATTTTAAAAGACTTAGTGTAAATTTGAATAAAGCCCTTTTAACAGTTTTAAACCCAAAATATACTAGTTTACCTATTATCACCAGAAGTATGTCTGTAGAGGCTGTAGTTAAAACAAGTAAAGTAATATATATTGCGTTTAAAACCCGGGGCCCTATATTTTGCGGTAATGGTGACCGGATGATATTGTTTTAAGTGGGTAGGTAACAAAAAGATCAGAGTGGATTGAGTCCTGAGGGACTGAAAATGCTTTTGCATTGAGATGCAAATTTTTTATGATAGACTATGAAGCATGGAATTCACCGATAGAAAACGAAACACGATTAAACTAAAAGCCGTTTTAATCTAAAGCTTTTTTATCTAAGGACGGTGGTTCGTGACCCGGACTGAATTTCGATATTCCTACTATCTACTTTATATCCAGATTTTCAGACGAAGTCTCAAAAAATAAAAATAAATAAATTGATTAGAAACATGGTGAACCCGGGGATCAAACACTCGATTCTCGGTCGACCCTTTGATTATTCAAAATCAAATCATTTATTCCACACACAAAAATGCGAATATAAATAATAAATTAAATGTATGTGGAAAGACACCTCTCAGCTTCTGTTGTACCTGGAAATAGGCAGAACACAGATTTGCCGACGCTGACATTTGAAGTAGAAATGTTTGAAGTGAACCATTTGAAGTAGTCTATTTTTTCTTACTTGGCATTTTTGGTAAACACAATTCTAACAAGGTTTACATTGATTCACACTAAAAACACGTTGAGACACTGGATTATATATTATACTAATGAGTTTGATATTTAATCCAGTATCTCAACGTGTTTGAGTGAAGAGAATTTAAGAAGGTAGTTCATTAGCTACCTTAGACTCTCTTAGTAAAAATCACAATTTTATGGGTAAATTAATAAAAATCCTAAAAAAATTATTTACAAAAATGCACAGACTAAAATTCCTTTAGTTTCACATTTACATGTAAGCAAAATCAACGACAATAGAAGGTAGAAGTCCAACTCATGCACGATCGCTGAAGAGCGTTACAAACGTTGAGTACAATAACTCCATAAAAGGGCATAACCAATTCTCTATGGTTTTAAATCGGCCATATTTGTAGTGATCTTTAGGTAAGTTGGAAAAAGTACACTATACATATACTTATTAGCCATATATTGCTAATAAAAACGAATAAAAAAATGACAACATACCATTTACATGGGATTTGATGTGCGTAGTGACTTCATCGACGTTGTCGAATTTCTCCTGGCACAGCGGGCAGGTGAGGTTCTGAGTGGCGTGTATCGCCGAGTGGAAGATGAGCTCGTCCTGAGTAGAGAACGTCTCCTCGCACTGTTCGCATCTGTACGACTCAGCTTCGCCGTCCGTCTGGCTGGTGTTCATCGTGCCGCGCACTTCCTCCCGATGTTTTACACGCAAGTGTCTATAGTAAATAACATTATTTAGATTATTAATTATTATTTTATCCTTACTAATATTATAAATGCGAAAGTATCTCAGTCTGTCTATCTGTTACTCTTTCACGCCAAAACTACTGAACGGATTTGAATGAATTTTGGTATACAGATGGTCTAGGCCCTGAGAAAGGACATAGGCTTTTTATTGCGAAAAGGGGGGTGAAAGTTTGTAAGAAAATTCTTGGTTTTTGAAGCTAGAACAATGAAACTCTCTTCTTTGGCTTTTTGGGAATAAGAGTGGGAGTAGAGGTAGGGGTTGACCGTGGGCGTGGGAGTGAGAGTGAGTGTAGGAATGAGAGTCCATAGATTGGCTGCCTTAAATGCGCCCTTACATATACATTACAAACAGCCTCAATAATTAAAAATTCTACCCCAATTCACTATGTCACGGGGACGAAGTCGCGGGCACAGCTAGTTGACAATAAGTTGAAAATTCTACGATGACACCGTATCTTAATTAGTTAGAGCGGCACGTTCTAAGTTCGATAGCCAGTATAAATGTTTAAAATGCTCTCGTGGCAGAAAGCTTGACTTATATTTAACTTAACGTGGTAATGGAGGAACGGCTGCTACATCTTTCAGATGTGTTAGTCCGTAGTTATTAAAAAAATGCTAAATACTGTCTATAGTTTATGCGAGTAGTACACATTAAAATGAAACACTTTAACGGTTTAAAACGCGATATATTAGTTAAACTTATTTGAAAACGATTTTTAACTTCGACCCGACGTATCCCTGTGACTACCGGCTGCTGCAAAGCATCCGAAAGGTCGGGCCGAAGTTAAAAATCTAAATATCGCGTTTTAAACCGGTATATGGGTCTAAAATCAAAACATCTATTCAGATTGAAAATTTTTTACGACGTAAGACTTGAACAGGCGTTCCGTAGTGCCGCTTTAACCAATTGAGCAGTCGTGTCCTACATGGTATCGTCGAATTTCTTCATGCCATTAATACGAAAATTTAAAAATTCTCGTGCCAATTTTTTTATGTCATGTGGCATACATAAATTTCTATTAACACTCTTTTTGTTTTACGAGTGGGTCACTAAAAAAGTCACTTTTAGTCATATATACCACATGCTAGCACACTTACAATATACTTTTTTCTACAGTCGAAATAATTTAGATGGCAAAAAAACGTGTTCACCACAAACTAAAAATATTCCATTAAAATAACTAAATATTACAAACCTAGTGTAGTGTTGAGATTTAACGAAGGCTTTGTCACAGAACTTGCAAGGATAGGGTCGCTCACCCACGTGGGTTTTCAGATGGCGGGAGAGCTTCTGCATGGAACCAAAACCTAAAAAAATATGTAAATTAATAATGCCATTAAATACTGAAGTAGACAAGATACTTTAGAATCAAGAAGTCATATTAGAAGATCAGTTTCTAAAAGTATTGTGTCTACTAAATGTTTTCGTAAGTGTATGTTCATAGCTTCTTATTCTACTCTTAGATATAGTTGTTTTGGTTCGACTCACGCTCAGGACAATACTCGCATTTGTACTCCGGTTCCCTTTCATGCAGAACAGCTATATGTCTGAGAAGGGTCGCTTTCACTGTGAATCTGTAAATTTTGTACAGTATGTTAAGACAATGTATACATACAACCAAAGGCATTCATGTGTGTGAAGCTGTGTGGCTATTGATTATGTGTGTGTGTAAAGTTTCTGATTAATTTGTGTAGATCTACAAGAGTTCATTGTTACTCAAAGAAATTGAAGACACAGACGGTAATTAAACTTAGAAGCCGGTAGCTCAAATTTTAAAATATTTAATACATGTTCAATTAATATAAAGAAATAATCCTTATTTTTCAAATATTCATATAGCAAGCAAAAAAATATTTCTTAAATTTTTTAACCGGTCATACAATATAGATAAAAATCACGTTTTATTTTTAGTATAAGAAAACTAATCTTTTTGGAACTATTATATATAGCCTTATATCTCTGAACTGGTAAATTTGTACTTTTTTTATATCTTAAGATATCTCAACATTTAAGTTGAAAACATGAGATGACTTCTTAATGTATTTATTTATTTATCACAGCTTTATTCATTTTTTATAGCTTTATTACTACAAAACCTAAAGAGACGAAAAACTTCTGTACTAACTAATATTTACTGTTTCAACTTATTTGAAAATTATTGTATTTATGTATAATGGACAAGCTAACCCAATTAAGAATACTTTATGGAGGATGATGTTTAAAAGATGACACTACATGTTATGGTGAAGTGAGAAATGATAGAGGTGATTGAATGTATCAAGTAAAAAAAAAAACACTTACGACTTATCACATGTTTTGCATACATAAATACTATCCTTCTTCTTTGCATGTTTTTGTTGGTGCAACATTAATTCGTCCTCAGAAAGAAATGTAGCTGGACAGTTTGGACAACTGTGTTGGGGCAGATCCGCATGGACTATCTAAAATTACATTTTGAAAGTACTCTAGATACCCGTCTTTAAAGATTAATGATAGAACGTGATGGTGTCTTAAATTCGAATCCTGTCTGGTAGAATACCGAAGCCTAAGCCTTTTGACTTTGACAATGGCTTAGAAATTATTCTCTAAGGTACTGCATTATGCCCAGTGTAGGGGTGTAAGGCCTTCTCTATATTTATATATTTCATTTTTCGTTTGGTCAGCTATGTAGGTTCATTATTTATTAAACAAAGTTCATATTAAAAAATATATTATATTTACCCTTTCATGTCGTTTCAGCAGTATGAGCCTCTTAAATTTCAAGCCACAAGCGACACATTCAAAGGGAGTTTCATCCGAATGACGCAATTGGTGTATATTTAAATCTGATTTTGTAAAGAATTTCCTGAAAATTATACTTCACTGGAATTTTTGAAATGTATGTCACTGTAAAAAATTTGTCAGTCACATGCTTCTATTTTTTGTTGACATTGGCTCTTGATAATAATTTCTTCTTGGTGAAAAGGTCAGGAACCATTTCCTTTGATAAAGCCATTGAAAAGAGTTGGTTCTATATGGGTCAAGAAATTTATACTTACGAGTCACACAAGTCGCACTCTATGCTCTTCTGTCTATCGTGGTGTCGTATTTTATGTAAAGTTAGCAGCTGTTCCAGAGGGTATGTACGATGACAGTCATCACAAGGCCAACAATTCTTATTCCCTGGGCTCAACTCTGTGTCCTCTATTGACTCATCTAAGTCATATAATACTTCAAGTGTCATTAGTTGTTAATATGCATTAAATACATTTAAAAAAGGGCAAGTAATGATAATTATAAGTTCTATTAAAAATAAGATTAGAATTAAAAAAAAATACATAGCAAAATCTGGTTGACATTGATGTTTTCCATTCCCTCTGATTGTAAGTTTAAGTGATTGAAAGTAAAAAATTACTTATGCTTATAACAAGTAGAATTAAAAAAGGCCAATAGTCAAAATAAAACACATACCTACACTCATTCTCCATGCTATGTTTTTGCCAAAACAAAACCTGTAATATCTGAAACTATTCAAGCGGTTTCTATTTCATGCAAAAATAGCTTAAAATATAACCTACATGCAAAATAAAAATTAAAAATAAGAACTATATCTAATAATAACAAAAGCTATGAACATACAATACCAAAATAAATTAAATTTAAAGATACAAACAGATATAACTTAAAGAGAAAGTATAATAAGAAAGAAATATATTCTCTTCGATTTACCTTTTTTAAATTTCTTTTTCTCATCTAGATCATTAGATGTGACCACTTTGATCTGAGTTGTTTTGCCTTCTTCATCATCACCTAACTAAAAATAAAGAAAATAAGGTTGTTGTAAATTGCTGCAACTTCTCAGTACAAGAAATTGATACACTGGTTCACACTTTAATAAGAAAAAATATATATTTGATTTATTTATTCTTTATAGTTTTTTGTTGTCTTAGTATAGCTGGTAACCCATTGTTGATGTCTTGGTTTTTAACTCCGGTCAAAATAGTGTGGTAAACACGTGTCCTATTTATCTTACCTTGATATTATAAATATTAGCTTCCTCATCTTCACTTTCTGAAGTATCTAGAGAGGTCACTTCGATGGCTGTGCCTCCTTCAACAATGGTTTTCACAACATCCTTAGCACTATCATATACCTAGATTCATTACAGATTTGATTAATATGTTTAATCACGCAAATTCATGTCAAAAGGCTATGTAAAAAGTAAAAAGATACCTTTGCAAGAGCTTTTGGCCAAGACATAGGTTCAAAAGGTGTTCCATTTCGAACAAATTTGAGAACATACTCTTCAGATTGTCTACAAATTTTTTTGAACTCATAAAATGTATTCATAAAAAACTTGCACCGTTCACAAATGTAAGGAGGCATTTTATCAGCAGGAAAGACCTAAAAATGTTATAAATTATGAATATACCAAATAAAATGCATGCTAGATGGCGCCACAATAAATGGTTCTTTACTTCTTTCGTTTTATTTCAATGATTAACTTTTATAAGGAATTGAGTGCAGCAATGAGGGAACAATTACGTGTTGTCATGACGAAGATAGAACAAACTCCTGAAGTCAGCAAGTGATGTTTTAGATTGGGTGCATTATCACAATAATTGTTGATGGCGTCCACTCCGTGTTTGGGTTATTAATTGTAACGATTACGTTTATTAATTTCAACATACCTCATAAGACAGACACGCTAAAACCTTAAATTTCATAGATGTACTCTCGTTATTTGAACGATTTCTTTCAAATAAACTTTTCAAAGGCGTTGTTTGCGTTAAACAAAACCGACACATTTGCGTCCCAAATAAACTTTCTTTCCTTTTATCCATTTTGAACACAATCTTTAAAAACTTCCTAATAACTAGACATAACCTCTATATTTATACAGAATTTAAAACCCTTATTATGATTAAAAAGACAAATGATAAAATAAGGAATACTAGCGCCATAAACCAACTACCATGTAGTCATTTGAAGTCCGATAATTGTTAACATTTTTGACATTGACAGAACAAGTGACGCTACCGTTAGCGACAGATTAAAAATTATTATTCTGTATCTGTACTAACCCTTACAAACCAAAATAATGTTATAAATTTAAATAAATACAATATTAGTAACAATAAGAAAATATAAGTTACTTTACAAAAACATCAACAACCTAGGAAATAAAAAAAATATGGTATTACTAAAAAACGCCTCAGGTGGTGAGTAGCTCAACTAGGTTACATCTATTATGATTATACTTTTAATAAGCTGTGTAGAACTAATGTTTGCTTAATGCATGTTAATTAAGAAAATTTATTCGTTCTTCTATAGGTCTGTTCCCGGTTGTATTTGAAATGCCTTGCAAACTCTTGTTAACTTAGGCTACCGGTGAGACATACCTCCGAATAATATCAAGAAAAACCATCTACTTATATCATTAATATAAATTTCGATACTTATATCATTAATAGAATTTTCGATTATATTTATCGTTAAACTGAATTCTAAGAAAAACAAATCGCTTAATAATATATGCAAAATAACATATTTTCTGCCTAACATAGAAGTAATTTTTCCGTCAGAACGACAATAACATTAAAAGAGCGAGCACTATTTTAATTTAACCTTAATTTTACGTATCAACATTATTCCCTATCTTTTTAAAAAGTAAATTACAATTTTTGTGAAATAAATAATTTACAGACAATAAGTATAGACAAACATACATAGAAGTGCTTGGTATACTTATATGTTATAATAATTAATTGATAAATGGTTACGAAATTAATATATTGTATATCCAATGTTTCACAATAACATTATTTAGTTCAATGTTAGTTATAAATAGGTCGGTAGATTACGAATATCGTTCAATATTATTTATTGTGGTATGAATAATTAGAATTTTATATAACAATTCATTCGTTCAGTTACTGTTGATTATCGATCTAAGTTAATGTTTGAATACATATTCTTTAGATTCGGGGTTCGATATCTAGGAAAATATCGCTACAGCAAATGAATGAAAATGGATGAGGTATTTTCCTTTATTCTCCAGAATATTTTATTTGCATATAGGTCCTATATAACTATTTTATGTAAGGTCTTCATATATGTAAAACTTTATACGGTTGCCATTACTTAAATGAAATATCCGATAAAATTTCTAAATAACGTTATCGTATTAATGTGGTAATTAATATTGATAAGATAAAACGCGCCTTGACGATGATCTAGCATTGCATTTGATTTAAAATTCTCTTGTGTACACACCACGTTCGGAATGGACATAAAATAGTTGATATTGGTGTAATAAAATGAATAATATGGACACATCATCAGATACCGCGGTCACTCTGCGAAATAATTCCAAAAGTATCAGAAGGTCTGTTAAATTCTTCTTCTTCCAATTACATTTAATTGTTTATTAAAACTATTTGTTTCTTAGGTGGCGACCGAGTTCACTTATAAACATCGTATCTAAGAATAACAAACATGATTCAGTTTTACAATCACTAGATACAGATAAGGAAAAGGTAAAATTTTCTGTGGTTAAAAATTTGCTATCTCTTAAGTACTGGCTGGTGATAAAATATGAAAAACAAAAAAACATCTTATCGAGTCTTAACCAGTTACAGTTAGAAAAGAAATAATTTTAGAATCTGTGTGAAATAGGTACTTCTTGAAACAATAGGACTTAATCCTTTTGTTTCAAGAAGTACCTATTTCGTCCAGGTACAATTCATCGAACTTGTCCAGGATTCGATTTAGATTTTATTCTAGTCTTATTTACTAAATGTAGGTCGTTATGAAGCCTAATCTAATTTCATAAGTGATTTATCATTGAGTATATGATAAATCGATTTTCAATTGTTTGTTATGTATGTAGAATTTTAAAATAAAAAATGAATTTTCCTTGTCCGTAAAGAAATTACAGAGATCGAAATCCTTGAACGCAAAATGGAAAACTGCAGTGTCAGTAGTACTAATTGAGGCTAAGAATATATCTTATTTACTGGATGATGGAATGTCGAAAGGGCTTTTTTGTAAGTTGAGGTAAGTTATATCACTATATCTAAAACTAAGTAAGGTACTAATTGGCGGGTACTAATATAGCACAAAACAGTAAAATAATTCTATGTTAATTGTTATGTTTAGATTTCTCTTATCTTGCGTTAACTCGCACAATATTAGTTAAAAACATGATTTTTTTTGCTGCTACAAAACAATAATGAACGTGTATATCGCTTTAAAACACGTTAAAAGTGATCTATTTAATGTAACTACTTGCTTAAAACAGATTTCAGAAACTCTAATATCACGAATAAAATATTTTTCATTGCGATGGAGTTAAAATAAATTAATCCAACTGCATATCTGTGTCTAGATAATAATAGTAATTAATACTTGCATAACAAGATATTCGGATATAAATTTGGTTGATAATATTATATTTTACAGCATTTATATAAAATGTGTTAACGACGAATTTTAAGAATAGATCGCAGTTTGATAGTTTTTATTGTCTGTAGTTTAATAGATAGTCATGGGAGTTGAATCCGTCATGTAATAAATGGGAGGAGACATATTTCTGTGTCTGTTTCACCGATGAATTCTTGGATGAAAGGGAGTAAAATCCCAGTCATAAAATATATAAAAAGGATGCGTTGTCGATCCTTATGACTTTGTATATTCAGAAATCAACAGACTGAAACCAAAGCGATTCTTATATTTGTCGATTTAAATACAATGTGTTGGATTTTAACGCAAGCCTTCTCGTGCTTAACTGAATAACGGTCGCGGTCATAACTATTGGTTGTCTTTTAAAAAGGAGCTGCAATTTTCTTCATTTTGTTTTTGTGTTTTTACAAATCTTTATACACCAACAGGTTAGGAGTAGAGAGCTTTAAATCAAAAAGTTCTTCCAATACAGTACATCCGGAATGGCGTGAGAGTTTTAAAATGCACCTGTTTCATGATAATATCCTTCACATTTCTCTATGGGATAAAGGAAACCAGAAAACCTCACTTGGCAGGTATTTAATACAATTAGAATATGGGGCTGCTAGAGGCAGAGTAGCCTAACTGCAATAATGACCAAAAAGGTTTACAAGAGCGCAGTGACCGAAAATTAAAATAATTCTTACACAAATAATAGTACAAATTAATCTTAGCTTATTTCACTGTGCATGTTTATTTTTGTCCTTATTGAAAATCATGTTTTTTTACGCTACTCTGCCTCTAGCACCATATTATGAATAATCTCTTTCTGTTTACTTTCGATATGTGTATATTTAATTTAGCTATGGTTTATGTTTTTAGATTACTCTTATTGTTGACATAACAATTTAATCGTTACTGCATTGTCCGAATTTATTCTTCGTGTCTTGTTAAATGAGGATATTAGATTATAAGACGTCATTGATAACAAAGGAGTTTTCATGTAAAACATAATAATATTGAGTCTAGAATTTGTCATCCTGTTCACAACGACCACATGACACATTTTTCCATTTCACATCATCCTGGTCCAAATTCTCGTCTCTCATGAGACGAGCTCCAGTACAGCTTTACCGACAACCTGGTCGTAAAACCTTTACTAAAGTAGCGATTATAACCTGGATGAAGTTGTTCACCTCATAATTGCAAGGTCTTTTAGGCTCCTTCCTAAAATTTTCTAAAGAAAGTAGCGTACTGAACAGATCATTGGAACATGTGCAATATATTCTAGATGTATAAGTTCGTTATGAATGGTTTTTTTTCATAACACGGTTTATTATTTAACTAAAAGACAAAATAAAATGAATGGAAAATAAACCAAATTTCAAAATAACAACTATAGATGCACTAGTAGATGCGGAAGCTAATAATAATATTTAATATCAACAGCTGTGTCGTAGACTTGGCGAAATATCAAAAAGAGCGCACTCATGACTTATGGCTGGAGCTTGGAGAAGGCCCTGGAAAAATTCATCTGTCCATTACACAGTGTGCTATACAAACAGTTGGCCAAAACCAATGCACGTGTAATTTTAATAAGCAGAAGGATAAATATGTAAGTTTTTACTTTTTATTGACTGTAAAATATGTCTTCGGGTTGGGGTGAGTTTCAGATTACATGTATTTTGTTGACGTAAAGCATTCTGAAGTGAAAAAGATAGGTACGTAATTGTCAATAGTAATTATAATTAAATGTAGATTAATGTTATCCTATATTGTAACTGTATTGTCTTATTGTATTTTTCAGTAATGTAGTTAGTGTCACTGTTTATATGGATTTAAAATAAATTAAACAAAAAATATGTCCTAGCGAGGGATATAGAAAAAGAAGAAGGAAAATAAATTTACCATTAAACGTAGAGTTAATTTTCTTGTTTCTGCAAGTTAATCTACTGTAGTTCACCCGTTGAAACGGCAGATTCCTTAGAATCCGAACACAGGCCCTTTTGCGCTTAACGTTATGCGTTTTGAATACTATCAGTAGATAGTAACATATTACTTAATATGTTTTTTTTCCATTCATGTGTTTCTAGAAAATATCAAATGTGGATACGGACTTAAACGAAGTAGGCATTCTACACGTCAAAGTTATTGGTGCCAGGGGCTTAGGGTCAAAACCGAGCGCCTACTGTACCCTTCAAGTTGATAACCAAAGGGTGCAGACACACAGAGCTGGAACCAGCGGAGAAATCACGTGGAATAGATGCTACTTATTGTAAGTATATTAAACATTATCGTTTATATAGATAGCGTTATATATCAAATAATAAACTTTTAATGGCTTACAGAGAAACGATACGAAATTCAAATATTTTTTTACAAATATAAGGTACATGTACATATTAATTATAACAAACTAAAAACAAAATTTAATTCAGAGCATTCTCTGTCAAATAAAACACTAAGCAAGTATATATAGGTATAACCTTTGACAACCAAAAAATTGAAGTGAATTAGTAATTGTATAAAATCCGTAACAAGATGAATAAGAAACAAAGAAGAGTGCTTGTGAGGTGATTATGAACTTACAAGATACAAACTAAATAAAAAAAAACAATTAAACAATTTTAATAAAAAAAAAAAATATTACTTAATTTCAACTTTAAAATTTGATAATCGCGGGTTATGAAAAACAGCCTCCCTATTGAAAGACTGGTAGAGTCTTATATGTAAAAAGGTTTTCACGAACGTGAAACAGTAAAGGAAATTTAGTAATGATATTCAATCAATATTTATGTTATTTCCGTAATTTAACGCGACAAATAATAATTCTTATCTGAAGGATAGACGATACATGACTACAGATAATGTTATTTTGATTTTTGGGTTTTATCTTATATCTATAATTACACAATATGGGTTATCAAAATTAATAGAAGACACCACACCTAAAGAATCATACACGTAATTAGAACCATGACATCGTTCGGGTTAAAAGCTGTCTGTAGTTTACGCGAGTGATACATATTTAAATAAAACACTTTAACGGTTTAAAACGCGATATATATATTAGTTAAAATTATTTCAACTACGGCCCGATCGCTTTATACCGTTAAAGTGTCTTATTTATATATCACTCGCGTTTTTTTCAGTAACATCCACGACATAGCATCCACTCTGGACCTGAAGTTATACGAAAGCTCTATAGCTAACACCCTCCTTAACGAGTCGATAGGCAAAGTATCGATTCCTTTGTTGCGAATTGAGAACGACGAAATGCGCTGGTATGCCCTGAAGGACCGAAATAAAAGGAACAGCGCTAGAGGGAACTTTCCAAGAGTGCTACTCCAGATGAAAGTGGTGTTTCATCCTGTAAGTATAACATGTATACAGGTAACGCCAGACTTATTCCATTCTAGTTACCTGCACTACGCTCATTGTAATAAAACAAACTCGAAAAACGCAAATTAATCTATACTAATATATAAAGCTGAAGAGATTATTTATTTGAACGAGCAAATCTCAGGAACTACTGGTTCGAATTTGAAATTTTGTGTTAGTTAGAGTGTTTATCAAGTAAGGATGTAGGTTATAAACCATCGCGCTGTGACTAATAGGAGTGAGGAAACAGCGGGAAATGTGGAAAAAGCAGTGGGACATTATTATTATCTTTGGTACGCGACCGACGTAGTGGGTAACAAATCTATAAAGATGAGGAAGTTTGCAAAAACAAATCGGTATGATGCCCAAAATGACTACTCTACGCGGACGAAGTCACTGACTCAGCTAGTTGCATGTAAAGCGTATAAAAAGTGGATAAGTCACCTTTTTATTACGTTCTTGGTACAAAATGTTAAACGAATCTCACATCGTTATCTGCTATTTCATTCAAAATTTAATGTTTAGCAAATATTAATATAAACTGCAAAAACTACTCAATGGATTAACTTTGATTTTTAATTATTATTATACTCGACCCAAGCATCTTATGCGAGTAACGCTATAAGTTGGTATTGTTTGGATAATGGTAATAAATACCTATTTTATATAAAAAACTCGACTAGAACCCGTTTTTTTTTATATAGAGGAGGATAAGCATAGGCTACACTCGATGGAAAATGAATTCCAGCCATATAACATCTAAATAAGATGTGCTGTCTGCCTATTTTGGCTTTGTAAATTCGGCTCGAATTAAAACTCACGTTCAAAGTGTTTCTTTCTGCATATAAAAGTTGCCTGGAAGAGATCGCTCTATAGCGATAAGGCCGCCCAATGCACTCCATAACTTGTATTATTAAGATATTTTTAAAAGAAAACATGTATATACTCGTATATTTTGTTGTTAATTTAATTAATAAATAGACGGGTGGTAGGAATATCGAAAATTTCGTCCGCGTCACGAACCACCGTCTACAGATGAAAAACGGTGAATCGCGATTCCGTTTCCGCGATTATGCAAAGTCGAAATATTTCGACAGCGTGTTTTGCTTAGATGTTATATGGCCGGGGTTATTTCACCTAACATCAAGGGAACCCTATGTTTGTCTGTACTCTATCATAAAAAAGCCGTATCAACGAATTGTTTTTTGCAACTCTCGCGCAATGTAAATTATTATTTTTTAATTATTCAAGATTAAATGCTATTATTGTAAAATTGATATTAATAATCGTTACTTTGAATAACTGAAGTGAAAATGTATTTATCAATTACAATTACATATCGATTAAAGTTGATCGACCGTTAATGTAAACATATGCTAAGATCACACTGTAGCTTATGCGAGTAGTGCACATTTAAGTAAAGCAATGTTAACGGTTTAAAACGCGAAAAATATTAATTTAGCTACAGTCACCACGGCTGGTGCAGAGCATTCGAAACGTAGGGCCGTAGAATAAATTGTAAATAACATAACTAATAGATTTCGCGTTTAAAACCGTTAAAAGTGTTTTATTTATATCTAAACACAAGTTTAAGTATTAGTTAACATTAGTGACATTATTATCGGTCAGTTTAATTGCTGTTTGATTTCAGGTAAAAGCATCGATTAAGCTATTCCAAGCTAAAGAAGAGAGGCACATCGTTAAGAAGGGAATAAAGTTTGACATAGCTCTACTTTACAGCAATGTCGTATTTGTGTCGAATGTGTTTCGTGCACTTCAGGAGTTTAATGAGTTTTATAAGTAAGCATTGAATTCTTTATTTAAATTAGAAATCGATTAAAATTGATAAAAATAGACGCGCGGGACTTTTTTATGCTCATAAGCATTTAAAAAATCTTAACGGTTTAAACGAAAAACGAAGTAGTTGAAGCGAACGTCGGGCCGTAGTTAAAATAAAATGTAAATTAGTTAACCGATACATTTCGCGTTAAATCATTAAAGGTGTGACACAAGAACAGTCTTAGTTACTTTTACGCGTATCTATTTCAAGATTAAACATTTGAGAGTCCTCTAAACTCCAGGGCTCTGGTACACTGCACCACCAGGCACTACTATAGCTATCCCAGTGTCTACCATAAATTGTATTAGTTACTTCTATCTATATATGGCACTACAGCTCTTTAGGTCTTGACCTGGTAATGGCTTAGTGTTACAACTAAATCGCAAATTTAATTTCTTACTATATTATTTAGTTACTGTTTTTATATGTTTTTAGGCGTGTCTTTGAATGGGACGACCAAGAGTTTTCATTTTTTGTCCTCATGGGTTGGATTATATTCTGTTATTTTATTCGGATATGGGTGATACCATTATTCTTGCTGCTACCTTTCCTCTGGTACTGGATTTGGAATAGACATTACGGTTAGTGAATTTAAATGCTCGATTTTTCTATGACAGACGAGAACAGGCCAGCATTGGGCTCACGTAATGGTCATATAACATTTAGACAACCTTTATTGGCTTTGGATATTCGGAAATCCTTTTTCATCTGTGAACGGTCGTTCGTGACACGGACATAATATCGATATTCCTACCACCATAACAATAATATTTTCGTCTAAATAAATTAACATAAATGTTGGATCTGGTGAGGATCGTACCCATAACCCACCCAACCCAACCATATTAGCCATACGTCCGTTACACCAATGATGTGTTAGATATATGGCAGAGATATTTCACCTTCCATGAAGAGACCCATGTTTGTTTCGCGTCTTCTTCTTGTCTTCATCATGGAACTCTTGTTTCAGATAACGTCGCTGCTGCAAAGGAGCAAGCTGCACAAACTGAAGAAGTAGATATGAATAATAATAACGTCAAGGTAATTCTCTTTTTGCAAACAATTCAATGTAGTAAATAGAGTCATGTAGGCTTTTAACTTTTTATTTTAAAAGATCTTGATATTTCATGTGGTTATAAAGCGTTTCTATTTGATACTAGCTGTGTCAGCGACCTCGTCCGCATAGAATATTTATTTTAGACATCCAATTAGTTTTTGCAAACCTCTTGTTCAACTCCCGTCGTTCTTGCAAGTTAATATTAAAAGATAGGTATATACTGTCACGGACAATATTTACATTCGTTTCGCACTTCACACATCAGAAAGCCACAGAGATGATAAATTTTCCCCGTTTTTTCCACATTTTCCGCTGTTTCTTTGTTCCTACTAGTCACAGCCGTGTGTGACACATATTTTATAGCCTATAACATTCCAAGATAAATGCTTTAATCAACACAAAAAAAAAAATCTCACAACAAACTCTTCAGCTAGAATTCTATACTCGTATAGAAGTATAAATTTTATATAAGGAATAAACATCGTATTGTAATTATTAATGTGTATGGTAATCATTGTTATTTAAATACGATTCATATAGATAAGGGCCGCTTCCTGAATTATTCATTTGTTTTAACGGATTTATATTTTTAGATTCAGGACGAGAGCGATAAGGGTCTAATCAGTCGCCTGAAAATAAACGAGCTGCAGCGAGTTACGATAACAGTGACGAGAGGAATCGAAATGATCGCCTCCTATTCTGAAAGGGTTTATAAGTAAGAGTTTATTTTATAATAACTAAATTAATAGGACAGATATCTTGTAAATAAGGACACGGTAAATTGCAAAAAAAAAAGTACAGTTTTGAATACTTTAATATTTTTCACATGCTATGATGACGTTTGATTAACAAATAAACATCTAAATAAATTGGAGAAATCCTTCACGGGATTTATAACTTCGGAAACACTTCATGGATACTAACAACATGCTACTTGCCTCATCTGTTGATCTTAGTTTTCCATCAGCAATTTAGGAACTGGCTGTTAAAGCCGCACATATGCTTGGTATGTCTAAGCTCTGAAGAACTTCTCCTGAATTAATTCTTTTTTTCTTTTCAGTTTAGTAACCTTTAAAGTACCTTTTATAAGTTACGTAACGATATGCATTTTGGCCGTCGCCTCCTTGGGACTATATGTGATACCGTTTAATTATATTCTCATGGGATTTGGTGAGTATCAATCTCTTTAGAGGTTTATGTTGGAAAGATTAGAACGGGGTTTCCGTTACCTAACGGAAACCCCGTACGTACGTGTACGTTACGTAACGTACTTTAAAATATTTTGAAGTTCATTGGTAAAAAACATAAAGGCTTAGTCATTTTGTTAAAAATGTATTTCTACCTAAAGTCTAAAATATAAATACTAGGAGAACGATAGCATGATAAAATGATTTTAAAATTTCACAGGTATAATGAAATTCACAAGGAAATATATAAACCCAAATCGTGTTTTAAATAATGATTTATTAGACTTCTTCTCGAGAATACCCGATGACGCAATATTGGTTTGTATCCGTGAAATAGTAATAAAGCTACGATTAATAACTATCGGAATTAATATGAATTTAATTTACAGAAAGATTGGAAGGAGTTACATGTACCGAAGCCGAACGAAGACGAGAATACTAAATATCTGGCAAGATCTGTCAGCACCTCAATTTGAGGCATATTCTTAGGGCCTCCGCATACAACATAATATAATCACATGATATATATCTTTGGAAAGTTTAACATTCTTCACATTGTATAAATTAAAAATCGATTTTAGATCGAAAAAAAATACGACACGGGCTTGCAGCGTTGGTTAGAGCAACAGCACGAAACGCTCTGGAAGCCGGTTCAAGTCCTGCCAATGTCGTAATTTATTTACCTTAAATCGATTTTGAATTTATTATTTTTATATTGATATAATAAAAGTCACATGTGTGAAACTTATTTTGTTATTTATCAACCATGATACAATTATTACGTCTGACACAATTTGTGACTTATGTCGGGTCCAGTTTTATTACAGTTCATAATAAATGACCTTCCGATTATTTTTTATACATTTTCAGGATTAAAATAACACAGGCCAAGTGACACAGTGTATATGAGGCCGTTAGAGGCAGAGTAGCCTAACCGCAATTTTATGACTTGAGTTTTTTTAAATTTCGTAGTCTAAAAATGTTAATCTACAATGGCAGCGTGACCGAAAATTGTTAACATAACTCTTACACAGATAATAGTACAAATTCAAATTGGCCTAAGTTCATGAAGTGAGAAGGTCATGTTTTTTGTTATTAGGCCGTTCTGCCTCTAGCAGTCTCATATGAAATTCAAGTCCCGCGCGTGACAATTTAAATAAGTTAATATACGGAGGCCAAACATCATTATACTTAAAACTAACTTAAGTAGTTAGATCTTAATAATCTACAATCACAAGTTTACTACATAAATAGAGTCGGCATCTTTTTAATAGTTAATTGAGCAACAAAAATGCGTTATAAATAATTTTCACACGTCAAAACGCACTTTTAAATCGTTATCATCATAAATTACGATGTCGAAATTTAATATGTCAATTTCGAATGTAGGCAAAATATAGCTCAACAGGCAATTATAGTGCTGCGGATACGAGTCCTGATTAAAAAAAATTAATATTTATATTTATAAAATTAATACAAATGCAATGTATGAGCTTGTTTTCTCAACTTATATCAACAGTTGTACCGCTACAAGACACTACGCTGTACTCGTAAATGTAAGCTATTGAGAACTTTAGCATGTTTAGCACCGTTTTAGCTTGACACTACTTCCTCATGCTTCTTCACCGTTGCCGAAAACACCGAGGTGTCAGCTCCTCTACCATCTATGGCACTACAAGATGTAGATTAAACGCATATAAATGCACACAGAGTATAGTTGTACAGTTGTACTATCTTCTCTTCATAGAATCTGGTTGACCCTCGCTGACTTCAGGCACTTTCAGCTCTCGCCACTGTTTCTGTATATAAGAAAAGATGATACATACAAGCACAGTATATTTTTAATAGGCTTATTGGTGAAATAAAATAAAAATAAACAATTTATTTTAACTGTTTAAAACGCGATATATATTTGTCAATTTTCAGTACGACCTGAGTGTATGTGCTCAAAATCATTTGTAAAGCAAGTGAAATATTGTATGCGTTGATACTTGCGTACAGATAATTAAAATCATAGAATAAAATATAATCATCAATAAAGCAAAATAGTCACAATTTACGTTTCAAATTAAGGGCGTAGAAGTGAGAAGAACTGGGAAATAACTAGCCGGTACTCTTCTTTCCACCAAAATATAGTTAGTTCAAACAAATAGAATAGAAATAGTTACATACCAACATTTGGTTGTCCGGAACCCTTGATATGAAGTCCAAAATATCGTTGTTTGGAACTCTTTCTGGGTTAAGGAATTTTCGCCCGAACTTGTAAATGCCTGTATCAAATATATAACATTTGTTAGAACATAAATGCGTGGTACGAAATTTTAGATATAACACCCAGTTAATATCCAAATTTTCCAAACGAAGTCTAACATGTTTCAGAAAAAATATAAATTATTTAAAAACATGTAGGATCCCACTACAGATCGAATCACTTGAAACTTGGAATATTACATGGGTAAACGTTTTAAAGCACACTTCTAAACAAATATTTTAAGAGAAAAAACTTTTGTCCCTCTCCTTCGTGCTAAGCTGTTTGTTTTGAATCATTAAATTAAATAACTTTAAATATATTACCAAATGCCATGAATAAATAATTAGCTGGTATCAAGTAGAACGCGATGGACGCTCCTATTAGTGCGAGCATAAATATGTAGCTCAAATATGGTACGCTGAAATTCACCAAGCTGAAACAAATAGCGAAGTTTAACCCGAGTACGTAATGATAGGGTTTTCTGATATTCCGCGAGGCGGCAGCACTGAAGTCTAGCCCGGAAACTTATCATAACGTATATTCTCCTTTTATTCTTATAAAACTTTTGACAGCGCGTGTTATTAGAAGTTTTTTCCTTTTAGCTTAATGCTCAAAAAAAAGCTTAAGCTCATGAACACTTAAGCTTTTTTCTTATTAATCTTTTCATATCTAAAACGGTTAATCTAATCCATCCAAATAGAAATCCATACTTGGCTCCACAGTTTAAGATTTCACCGCCTCTAGCTAAATGGTTTAACATGTCTTAACATTGCGTTAAGCGCGATGTCCGGGGTTCGAATCCTGGGGAAACACTAGATGGTTTCGCTGAAGCACCGATCAGGGACACAAACAGAAATGTGTTCGCCCCATGCCCCATGGGGAAAATGGATTTTACTTTAAAAGATAGTTTGGACATACTTTGACAAAGTCAGTATTTAGCTTTTGACTTTAGATTGAGTTAAAACACAACTATACACACTACACAAAAAACTTACTTGTATAGTCTTTCAAGGAGAGACACAATATAATCGATTCCATTCTTAATAGTAATTGTGAGATCTTGTAACTCGCTTATTCTCGTCTTTATACTTTTGTCATCCTGAAACAAAACAGTTTATAAAACTAAAATCTTATTAACTACGTACACAACCGTACCGTACAGTACAGTACCGTATAACTTTTATTATACAAGTTTTAAAGTCACGGAAAGACGATTTCTATAATTTCCTTTGTTCAATATTAAATTTAAAATAGTATTGCTAATAATCAAAAACATCGTTTAATTCAATCGTTTTAAGCGCTAGAGCGGAAAACACATACATAGATAACATAATCATAATTCTTTTTGGCTTAGCCATCGTCGGGTTAATAAAACAATTAAACTTAATTCAAGTTTAAGTTAATTTATTTTAATTAAGGAATATTCCATTGGGTGACATGACTTTCTATTCTCTTCACTTTGTTTATTTTAATTATTTGATTGATAATGTATAAAAATTACCCAAATGAGACAATTGATTACCCAAAGACAATTTCAGAAAAGAATTTAATTGGTATGGTATTGTACATTTATCTGTAGGGGTGTGTGTATGTTCAAGTTTAGGCGAGCAATATTATATTATATTACATCCAATTTTTTTTCTCCTTTTTAAGTTAGCGAATAGACAGACAAGCATTGCTCTGCTTACTGAAACTGAAAGGCGGATAAACTCGACGACTTTTTCATCGTGGACGGAAAATCGAAATTCCTACCATCCATTTAATATCCAGATTTCCAAACGACGTCCATATTTCAGAAAAAAATATTAGATGTTGGATTCGATGGCGAACCCTCGACCAGTTGATTATTAGCAAGAATGTATAATCATTATGCTACCATTATACCAGTAACCACACAATAGTCCTATTTTCGTAGTAATTATTCTATTTCTGAACTTTGCCGTCTACCTACTTACATGAGACAATGCGCTTAACATTAATTTATTTAAGAATTGCAGTCAGTCAATGTATCTACTTAAAACGAGCGGTGATTAATTATTCTATGTTAATTACCTTTTGTGCTTCTGTCTCCTCGTCTGAATCATCGTCGTCGGACTGACAGACCGGAACTTGTGTATTATCTGTGACAATAACAATTACGGATAAGGGAACTGCGAAACATTTTTATTTAATTTTCTAGTAATACAAGTAAAAAGATAACGTGTGTATGTATAATTAATGAAAATTTTAGATTGAAAAAATAAATTAAAAACATTAATATTTTTCACATGTTATTGCACATGAAGGCACTATATAATTTAAAAATCGAAAATAAATTGAAAAAAATTTTTCGACTCGGGCAGGACTTGAACCGGCTTCGTCAGCTTTCCGTGCTGTAGCTCTACCAATTGAGCTACCGAGTCCTACACCTCATCGTCGAATTTTTTCAACTTATTGATACATGCACCTCTCGCGCAGTGTAATTTCAACCTTAACACTTGCGTACTAAGGTTCAATGTCTTATGCTTTGCAGCTTAAGAAATCATTGAAGATGAAATTACAAAGTTATAACGTTTGAAAACATTAATATTTTGCACATGGAGGCACTATTTAATTTAAAAATCGAAAATAAATTGAAAAAAATTTCGACTCGGGCAGGACATGAACCGTATAAAGTATGAAAAGTATAAAGTTTTCAACCCAGAGACTGATACTCTTAAAGCAACAAGCAACGGTCTTACGACAACGCCACGAATGTTATGTACACTCGTAATATCTGTACTACAAGAAACTTACTTCTTTGTACCAGCCAGTAGTGGATAAAAGGAAGAAGTAGTAACATTGGCGTCAACCACAGTCGGAAGAAATACCAAAATATCAGCCAACCACCAAGCGCAAGCGCAGACAGCTCTTGGTTTTCCCATTCGAATACTCGTCTGAAAACATGAATAAATTAAATACTTCTGATATTACAGAAAATATAAATAATAGATAACTTTTGGCCGGCTCATTGTAATGGCAGCTATGTACGGTTAATAATAAACGTGTCGTGGATTCGATCCCCAAAGGGTCCAAAATGTTTCTGGTCTTACAATTTTCGAAACATCTTGAAGTTCGTCTGGAAATCTGGATATTCAATAGGTACCACCGTCCACAGATGAAAAACCCGTGAAGTTTACTCACGTTTCGGTTTGATTTCTGGATTTCCGAATAACCAAATGCAAAATAGGTCTTGTTTACTAAATTAACCTCATGCTATGTCTGTCCTTTTCTATCATAAAAAATAACTTACTTGAAATGATCGTTTCCCGTTTGAAACACTTTGAATATGTGCTTTATAAATATTAAATTGTTATAAATAAGTGGAATATCGAATTTAGGCGGTTTTTGTATGTATTTCGTTTCTTTAGGCTGAAGTAAACGCATTGATGCTTTTATCTGTAAACGAAAATACATGTAATGATAACAATTTATTTAGCACACACAACTAATGACATTACACACTGTCTGTAGTTTACGCGAGTAGTACACATTTAAATAAAACACTAGCCGTACTGTTTTATTTAAATAAATAAAACTTTTTAACGGTTAAAAACGCGATATAAATTAGTTAAATCTATTTGAAAATGTTTAATTACGGCCCGACGTTTCGGATGCTTTGCAGCAGCCGTTGTCACGGGGAGACTAAAGATGGATCCCAATAAACAGCATACCGGAAAACGCGAAGACACCGTTAGTCAATTCTGTAAGGACCCGGCCAGTTTCGCCAAACGTTCGACGGAACAGATGGCGCTAGCGTAGCAATTTTTTACTTTGACGTCAGAGACATCCTCCATCTTTAGTCTCCCCGTGACCACAGGTGCTTCAAAGCGTCCGAAACTTCGGGCCGAAGTTAAAATTTATTTTTAAATAAGATTAATATATCGCATTGTAAACCGTTAAAGTGTTTTATTTAAATGTGTACTACTCGCTTAAACTATAGACAGTACTTAAGTTTTATTTAAGCTAATGACATTTACAAACAATTTCTTGTCCATTTAACATTGTAAACGCGTGGTGCCTGCGACAGGTTTAACAACCTGTAATATAAATCACCAGCCCATCCTCGACGCAAGCTCTTTTTTAAAACTTGTATGTACTAATTATCATTTTATTGGTAAGAGCTTATATACTAAACAATATAAGAACTTGAGAGAATACACCAGCGTTATGTGTGTATGTGTCATATGACGATAAGTTCTTGGGATAAAATTAGATTGAATTATAACCAGGGGCTTTATGCTTTTCAAAATGGCATGGTGGCTTGGCTTGTAATATTTTGCTACTATGTGAACGATTGCTTGTTATTGTTCGCTAGCTTTGCCCACGACTTCGGCCGCGTGAAATATTTTAGGCATCAAAACACATTTTACGGTTAATAAAATATAGCTGTTGCCTGGCTCCTATGGATCGCAGCCCAATGTTCTATAATCAAAAGCGTTCCTCGATAAATCATCTAACCAACGTAAAAACTAATTCTTCAAATCGGAGCAGTAGTTTCTGAGATTAGCGCTTTCAAACAAACAAACTACTTCAGCTTTATAATATTAGCAAAGATTTGCTTAACTTGCTTTGTATATATTTTTTAAAGATGACATGTGACTAGTTTGTTTCTTAACAGACTCAGGACGAAGGTGTGATTTTCGTGCACTAACCGGGTTCCATACTATGGACATTTCCAAAAGTACCCTCGGACAGTTTCCTCGGGCGCCACTCTTTTTCGATCTATCCTTCAACGCGTACCACTTTTTCTCGTTGTTGTTGATTCTCAGCAGTGGTATAGATATTTTCCCCAGCATCTCTCCTTTCATGGACTGAATTAACGATTCCTCATATACAGCGATATCTATCGTTGACGTGATATCGTTTATAGAACTAAAAATTGCACCAAAATATTAGGTAAATTGAGGCCGCTAGAGGCAGAGTAGCCTAACTGCAGTTTTATGACTTGAGTTATTTATAATTTCTTAGTCTTAAATGTTAATCTATAAGAGCACAGTATTAAAAATTGTTTACATAATTTTTACACAAATAAGAGTAAAAATTCATTTTCGCCTAGGTTAATTGGGCATATTTATTTTACTCCCTATTGATAATCATGTTTTTTTTTGTTATTAGGCCACTCTGCCTTTAGCAACTCAATTATTATTGAACCCTACCCGACATTCGACTATTTTCATCACGTCATTATCATTTTTTGTGGGTCAAACCTTATTGTCTTTTTGTTGATTTTGAAATGAATTAGCTCATCCTCTGACAACGAGGTTATTTTTTCATTGTTTCAAATGAATAGGTGTGCAAGAAGTTTCGTGGACAATGCTCCAAAACCTTTCATTGTTTTCGTAACTATCTTTATTGTAGACAAATAAGAATTGTAAAAAAGTAAAACGTTCAGAAATACATGTATTGGTCAAGTTTTAGCTATACAAAAAATTTAATTCGTAATCCAATCCTTCGGTATTTAGAGCAAATATGAGGCAGCTAAAGGCAGAGTAGCCTAACTGCAGTTTTATGACTTGAGTTTTTATATAGTAGTATATTTGTATAGTCTAAAAAGGTTATAATTTACAAGTGCACAGTGACCGAATATTGTTAACATAATTCTTACACAGATAAACAAATTCATTTTCACCTAAGTTTTTTTTATTAGGGCAACTCCAGCAGCCTCATTTATACTGTAATTTTGTACTTTCTCCCAACTTTTTTATTCTTTACATCTTGTCCAGAAGAGATCTACAAGTAATTACAAGGCCGGTCGTTGAGGTCGAAATTTTTTTGACTTCGTTAACCATTGTTCGCAAAATATGAATAAATAATAAATAGCTTTTACGAGTTCTGTTAACTAATTGCATAAGCATATTTAAAAAGAGCATTAAAACTGTGAAAGCTGTACTTACAAAACAAAGCTCTTATCCCAGCTAGGATCTGACGTGCCTCGTATCGTGTGTGTTTGTACTCTTGCGTTGTCCAATTCTATAATACAATATGCATTTACGTTCCCGCTGAAGTTCAAAGCGCTCAGTCCCTTGGCGCCGTGCAATGTTAATGATAACTGGCCCACCTCGCTCCAACTATTGTCAAGACGGTACCATAACTGAAAACAATTGAGACAATTAACCAAAGACACGGGAGACGAGGAGATTTCATCTACTTCACCTAACTTGACACCCAACGGCTTGAAAAACCACAAAAGAAGATGGCTGTAAAAGACTATAGTGTATTTTTTCTAACTTGGCAAAAGAGCACAAAAAATATGGCCGATTACAAACCATAGAGATTTAGTGATGCCCTTTTATTGAGTGTAGTCATTGCCACAGGTGATATAGGGTTAAAGAAGTATCTTATTATTTATAGATTATTATATATAATCCAGTGTCTCAAAGTGTTTTCAGTGTGCATCAATAACTAATGTAAAACTTGTGAGAGAAAATCACGATTTCCTGTAGATTGTGTATTTGTTTACTAACAATGCCAAGTATGAAAAAATACACTATATTGTGTTTAAAAGAAAATCACTTTGCACCTGTATTAGTATAGATTATGCAATGTGTAGCTTAAATTTTTGTTTTTGAAATTATAAAATCCACTTCAACTCAACCGTATCTTACAAGAATCCATTCGTCATATTCGGATTAATATTATTCAACTTTCTAACCGCTTATGACCTGTCAATATTTATAATCTGACAAGATTCATGACAATCTAACGGGTACAATCTTTGACACACATGACATACCGTCTTGCGCAGTCGGCTAACCAATTACCACGACCTTCTCGCTTCACAGAAAAATCGTTCGCAAAAAAGGTTTGAAATCATTATTTTGTTAAAATTACATGAGAACAAGTCGAGTATATTTAATGTCTTCAACAATTTTTTGCGAGCAATTGTTGAGAATAAGTGGACGTTCATGTTAATTATTCAATAACAAGATTTTGTGAAGTTGTACATTGTAAATATTGTCGGTCTGAAGAATACTTATATTATCCGTATAGTGTTCCTTGATAGCTGTACAAAGAATCCGGGTATTAAGTATTACATGTTATATTGTGCTATTTTACCTAAAACGTTATTAGGTTGACCCGGTTATGATAACAGTTAGGGATGGACAACAAAAAAAGTCTTTAATTATTATTTTTTTGTACCGTTAAGCAATTTGTTTTAAAATTTTATGTTTGTGTGTGGTTATATATTTAATTTATTTATTTTGAATTTGAATTAATGGTTTATATTCGGTTCGGCAACTTAAACCGAACTTCTGCATCCGGTCGAAAATAGTTTAACGAAAAACGGAAGTTATGTTTATCACTCTATAATGTTTTTTTGTTATATGATAAAATTAGTATACAATAAGGAACTGCTTATGTAATTGTTATATATTCAAGGCAATGCTTTGTCCTTAAAGTAGGCGGAAAGCACAAGTCTTGAGTAATAGAATGTTCGACGTAATAATTAGTTTATAAGTATCTTAGTTAAAAGAGACGGATTTGTTGTTTTAGCTCAAAATTAATTGGTTGATGATAAAATCTTGGTTCATGAGCTAAAATGAGATCCATTCAAGAGATCATTTGAACTAAATGCTCCGATTCGGTTCAAAGCATACTTGGCCATCACTAGTAAATTTATCTGGCTAATAATATTACAAAACAATGTTAATATTACGGTAGTGAACCATATTTGACTTTAACCTTCGTTAGTTTCCTAAAACGAAATCTATATTTAGCGTTATAAACAGTTAATAAACGTGTACTACTTGTGTAAATTAACGCAAATATTATTTCTCGCGTTTTGTCTATAGATTAAAAATTACGCGCTTACCAATAATAAATTTAAAATTTTGCACATTTTATAATATATCCGATAAAAGTTCACTTCGGTACCAGACTATGAACTAAAGCTATATGCCAAAATTATTTTCAGAATTCTCAGAATTCGTTTAAATTACATTAAGGAAACTGCACAAGCCTTGTAAGTACGACAAGGACAGGTTAACGTTAAAACTTCGATCACAAAACCAAAGGTCACGATTCATCTATAAAAAGGAAAAAAAAACGATTAAAACCGTTAAGGAAATCGAGAACGTTGAAAACCTTTGTTTGTGTTTTAAACACAATAATTTGTATATAAAGGTATAGTTAAGGTTTGTAATAAATGATAGAATTGAGAAAATCAACAATGAAGCTTGGTCTTTCAAATTTGTATGTAGTCGAGTTTTGCAAACAAAATTTCCATTGATCTCTACTTAACTATAATAATTAGGAAATCCGTGTTACATAAAATATAGGATTTATAGACAAATACCTTAAATACTGTCTATAGTTTACGTAAGTAGTACACATTTAAATAAAACACTTTAACGGTTTAAAACGCGATATACCTATTAGTTAAACTTTAAATTTACAAATTTGAAAGACCAAGCTTCATTGTTGATTTTCTTAATTCTATCATTTATGACAAAGTGAATTTAACGTAATTTCTGATATTTAAAGTCTTCTTCTTATAATTTAAAATCGATAACAAATTGAAAAAAGAAATCGATGCTTTCATGTGCATTAACATGAAAAAAAATAATAAAGTTTTCTTTGTCTTATTCTTAATTTAATGGCTTTCCGATTCTCAATGGTTCCTCTTCCGATTCTCCGTAAACACATGTCATTGGCACAATCAATGGGATTTTTAAAGTATGTCGTATAGTTCGTCGTGTACTGGTGTCATTATTACCAATCATTTGAAATGTCATTCATTAAAATCTGCTCAATATATTAAACGCTACAATAAAACATTAAAACCCAAATCGTCAAGCCAAAGTTAAATAAATTTATAACCGTTACCTATAATATCTCGCGTGTCAAACCGTTAAAAGTGTTTTATTTAAACAAAACTTTGGTCACGAAATGACCATAGTTCCCACAACGATGACACACGCCTTCTGCATAAGTATATAAGGGAATATCGAATATAGGGGACTAAGTGTAAGTAGCAACTGAAAAAATCAAACTTACAAATTTATCATCTGTTGGCGCTTCGTGCCGAACACCGTTAGATGTGGGAATACTGTCAACGGGGATGCTCCTGTCTGTACCACTCAGTGTGATCAACAGGTGAAGAGAGCCGTACCCACACTCCAACTCCTGCCACAGCTCTTGAGTCTTCTCTTTTTCGATCTGCGATAGATCAATGATGCATCTGTGGAAAGTAGTAAAGTTAGTCTCGACTACGATTTAAATACCAACTGCACAAAGGAGTCTGAAAAAGGACAGACAGACATTCACAGTTTCACTTGATAGAGGGTTTAATTCCCCAGCCATATAACACCTTAACAAGATACGTTGTCAACCTTTTTCGGCTGTGGGCATTCATAAATCAGCAGGATGTAACGTAACGTGATACACTTTACCGCTTTTTCATGTGTGGCCGAGGGTTCGTGACCCGAATAAAATTTCGACATTACTAGCAGACGAAGTCTAACATGGTTCAGAATATTTAAATAAAACACTTTAACGGTTTAAAACGCATTATATTAGTTAACCTTGTTTGAAAATGAAATTTAACTTCGGCCCGACGTTTCGGATGCTTTGCAGCAGCCGTGGTCACGGGGAGTCTCCCCGCGTTATAAACCATTAAAGTGTTTCATTATATATCTTGTTTTAAACCGTTAAAGTGTTTTATTTAAATGTGTACTATTCGCGTAAACTATAGACATGGTTCCGAATATTTGATTTAAGGAACATGTTGGTAACCGTCCGAACATAATGGAACCGAACACGACCCGTTAATTAAAAATAAAAATGTTATCATTGTTTCACAATATTGGCTTACAAAAACATAACTCTTCGTTTTGCGGTTATCGGGTAATAATTACTATTCATGTTTTAGTAAATTAATTCAAATCTTCACATACACTATAATTATGTTCTAATTCAGGAAACAATACAATCCAAAAAATTTAAGTTTCCTTGTAAAAAATATGGTTATTCTTGAACGGTGAAAAAACAAGATGGCTGCCTACAAAAGACATCAACGTTACACGATGGCGTCAACACATCTCCACGTAAATTAATTTTTAATTACAACTCACCGTCCCACGAAGCTTTTTTGTTTCGCCTTGTGCCATACGGTTATCTCTAATGAATTATCTTCGTAAAGAAATAAGTTAAATCTCTCGCGCCAGACAGGTTTTGATTTTTGTACTTGCTTTGACTTGTGTGTCTCGTTTCCTAACCTGAAACAAAATTATTATTAATCTTTTCAATAAAACATTAACCGTTTAAAACGCAAAATATATTAGTCAAACAAGATCCAAAGCATCCGAAACATCGGGCCGTAGTTAAAATAATTCTTCTTAAATAAGTTTAACGAATATATTCGCATTTTAAACCGTTATAATGTATGTAGTACACAGACAATATTTAATATGTATAATATTCAGTCGAGTCGGGAGTTCGATGCTCCATAACTCAATAAAATTTTTAACATGATATAAATATTCGAGATTAGGTCGAGAGCGTGGTAGGTTAAGGTAAGGTTTGTGTCCCAGCTGAGGGAATTGTTAATAACAATAATTCTCTTAACGTTACTAACTATTTAAAAGCATTTAAAACATACCAGCATAGTAAAAATTATAGATTAGTGTTTGTGTTCCCAAAAATATTTGAAGATTTGATACCATTTAAGATAAGTCCACTACAGGTATAATTCTAGTATGGAAACTTTTAGCATTCATTCAGGCGAAGTGAATTAAAAAAGACTTGTCTACTTGCGACAACTATCGTTTTTGTTGGTACAGATAACCTTGCGTAGTTTTGAGTGATGTATTCTGTTGTTTCAATTTGATTATTCTCTAGTTTTTCGTAGTTCGCAAAAAAACTTAGAACCGCGTTTCAACTGTAAGATGTTTGTCAGAAGATTGGTATAACTCATTGTAGATTAAAATATAATCACGTTTCCCGTGTGGGTTTATTTCTTTTTCACTGACTAATTCTATTCACTAGTTGGATGGATTATTTATGCCCTGCGGAACCGAAACAATTTAAAGTTTTCGTAAAATACCGAACCTAGAATATCTCGTGTCTAACGATAATCAATTTTAACTATAAACTCATTTGAACTTCTTTATGGCGAAAAGGTGGGGTAAACAAAGACTTTAAGAGCCACCAAGCTGATCCCGTGTCAGTTAGCAGGCTGTAACGCAGAAAAATTTGCGGCGAAAATCAGGACCGACGGCCTAACGTGCTTGTCGAGGCATGGAAACTTCGTAGGACATTTTCGTATACGTAAGTAACATTTGGAATCCAGGATTCGAACACCTAGACCACGAAGCAAGAACTATCACAAATATGATGGACGAGGCTGAAGATAAAATTAGCAAAGTATATATGTACATACATACATAATATGTCTGCGCAACAAAAAATCTTATATAGTTTGTTTGTTTGTTCGTTAAAACGCGCCAATCTTAGGACCTACTGGGTTTAATTGTTTTTTTTTTTAATTTTGGATGATAGATTATTTATTGAGGAAAGCTGTAGGCTATATAATATAACATTGCAACTAATAGAAGCAGAGAAACGGTGAAAAAATAGGAAAACCGGGGAAAATTTATATTATTGTGGGCTTCCGTCGCGGTGGAAACGATTCAAAACGAAATCAAAAAATAAGTATGAAACAATTCTTTCTCCATAAATGATCTAAAATATCCGCGACACTATATCTTTTAAGCTTAACACGCAAGAGCTATTTGCGTGGTATTTTTATTTGGTCGAAACTAATTATTTCTTAGAGTTATACCAACATAATAATATTAATTCTGCGAAAAAACAAAACAACGTTTGCCGGTTCAGCTGATCAACTATAAACCCGTTTCGATTCCTTGAATTGTTCTAACGTCACTCACCTAAATTTGCAATAGAGCCCGTTCGATGTGTTACCCGGTCCATCAGGTAAGTCCTTCGCTTCCACCAATACAATGTTCACAATTGACTTCCATGACTTCTTGAGAACTTCAAACTTTCTATTCTTTAATAGATACTGAAAATTTAATAGACATTAGACTTCGTATTTCAAATAATTAATGAACATTTTTCTAATCAATATATAACTTTTCTGAAACATGTTTGACTTTTGGAAATTCAGATATTAAATGGATGGCGGGAATGTCGAAATTCCGTCTGGGTCACGAACCACCGTCCACAGATGCTAAAACCGTGAAGTTTAGTCGCGTTTCGGTCGCAGTCTGTGGATTTCCGAATATCCAAAGCCAAATCTGTCTGTCCTGCTCTTTCATTACTAAAATATAATGGAAAGCCTTGCTTACCTTTTGAACTTTCTTGCCATGCTCCCTCAATAGAGTGAGCCCACTGCCAATGCGGTCCATAAAATGATTCGGAACTGCAAGCGCCGTGGGTGATAAGGGATCCATCACCAAGCCCTCCGGTATCGGAATTGACCTAAAGCATTTCAATTTAATATTAAACATGAAAATTCTTAAGAAAAACACCAAAAAGATAAACGTAAAAAATAAATAAAAAAATCTATCTAAATGGAAAAAAGCATTCCAGAGTAGTACGGGGAGTTATTGATGCCGGTTCAATTCCCGTCCGCGTAAAATTGATTTCAACATAATGCTATGTTTAAATATAAAGTTTTTTAAGTAAACTTTTTAACTTTCTATTTATAATTGTTCGTGGGATAGAATAGCAGACAAACATACAGCGGAGAAAATTGTGTAAGGAACCCTATAGCGATAACATAAGCGACCAATATGCATAAGCAAGATAGATATTCGAACGCCATCCGTCGTAGCTTCGAGACCCAATTGGGTATTTACTATACACATCTTTGTAATGTAAACCGCTTAACTTAATAAATCGAAATAGACAATACCTGATTTTAATTATATCTTTCATTGTATAACACTGTCTTCAATGAATATGTACTGTTAAATAAAATTTGTAATGCCTTTATTTAGTAGTCCCAGAAAGAAAGGGTTACAAAATATTAAAAAGTGATAACGGGCTGTTGTAATTATTACAATTGAAAGATAACTTCATTTGATAGTAAATATCACTTTGGAAGACACGTCTTCAGTATGATAAACTATCTATGTTGAAAATGATATTTTAAACAAATGAACTTTGAAGCTGAAGAATTTGTTTAAACGCAAACCTCTCTCTCTCGCAAACTAATAGGAGCGAAGAAATAGTGTAAAATGTGGAGAAACAACTCTCTTTAAAAGTTAAAAAAAATATATCCTTGACAGTCTATGTCTATCTTCTACGACTAACTTACGAGAACGACGGAACTTGGTCAACGTCATTGGTTACAACCATAATTTATTAAAATGAGGAAAAGATTTACAAAATTAATTTTGATGCACAAAAAACTATTCCACGTGGACAAAGTCACGGACACAGCTAGTTATAAAATAGGGGGAACAAGGAATGGCTTTTAAGGAAGCCTTAAATCTAAACTAGGTAACATTTTAACAAAAAAAATCGTATGCCTTTAATATATACTGTTATAGAAATTGTCTCAAATTAACTTATTTTAATATTTGCGACAATTTATTATAAATGATAAACAACCTTTTTTTACTCACGACCAAAGATTTTAAACGGTTTAAAACGCAAAACGGCTGAAGCTACGTCGGGTCCTAATTATAAGTGTAACTATATTTCGCGTGTTCGCGTATTTTATTAAATATTGTGTACTTTTGGGTACTCGCGTAAACTACAGACTATGCGAAAATAGTATATTCATTGTTATTGTAAGTGCGCAGAAAAAGTAACCTTTTCTAGTCTTTTTTACAACGCCTAACCCTGAGATGGTACGTCGATATAAGTATAAAAATTTTATAGCTATTTTAAAATAAAATTTAATAGAATATTCTAGGCAATACTTTGACACCGCTGACTAACCTTGTGTTTGTTTAAATTAATTCATAAAATAAATTCGTCCTCGCTTAAATAAAAGTGTAGATTTGTTTGACAATGTCGTGTTAGCAAGCTTATACCTACCTACTTTTTTTTAATAAGTTAGCATAAGTTATGTAAGAGGAAAGTAATTTACGCAATTAATACCTATACTAATGTGTTTTAATTTATAGAACGGTCTTGATGCTTAAACTATTTTTAAGAAAAATACATATTTTTTGAGAACACAGAGTAGGTTTAAGTCTGTAGTTTCGTAGTTAGTACGGCCCGACGTTTCGCATGCAACAGCCGCGGTCACGGGGGAAATAATTTTCAAACAAGTTTAACTAAAATATCATATCGCGTTTTAAACCGTTAAAGTGTTATATTTAAAAGAGTAGGTTTAATTAAAACAATTTTAACGGTTTAAAACGCGAAATATGTTTGTCAACTTATAATATATATTACAGTCAAGTCAGTACAAAGCATTTCGTCGGGCCGTAGTTAAAATATAGATACCAAATAAACAATAAAACGTACTATTTAAAGAATTGTCTCTTTCAAAGATACCTTGTAATTAAGCTATGGAAACTATTTTTTTGTAACCTGGATGTTATTATAGAAATTTATAAAATAGTTATCATTTTTTTAATTAACCTTATCTGTGTGTCTATGTGTATACGCTTATCTCATAGATTCTTTATCGATTCCCATCTATAGATGATGTTAAACTCCCCGGATTTTAGTAAAAAAGTTATAGTTAAGAATTTTGTATCTTCTGCGGGTAGTCACAAAAAAGTTTTTTTTTTATTATATGGAATTTACTTAATTTAAGGTGTAATACCCCAGCCATATAACATCTCAACGCGCTATCGATTTTGCTTCGTATATTCGGAAATCCACGGACTGTAATCGAAACGCGATAAACTTGACTGGTTCTTTGGCGGTGATCCAAATAGGTGGTTTAATATACAGATTTCCAGACTTACTACTACTAATCTACTAAGCTATATTGTTAATTTTAAATTAAAAACCTTTCAGAGCAAACAATGTCGTCAATGAAAGAAAAACTTCATAAACTTTGAAGTCCTATACAATTCCTAACTAAATGCGCAGGATTTTTTGAGGAGGAAACCGCAGAGAAAAACAAATTTAAGCACGCCAATCAAGTGTCAAGGTTTAAAAGCCTTTACGGTTAAGCGAAGTACTTTTTCTTATATTGACATGACAGCATTTTTTGTTTATTTTTGTCGATCATATATTAGTAACGTTAGAATTATTTAAACTTTAAAATAACGCTACGTGTAAAAAAAACGTTAGCTAACTTGACGTGTTATTCAGCATCGTGCTAAGTAACACGTCAGTGTGGTTCGAATTTCGGGGAAACAAAAAATATTTAGGTCGTTCAGATCTATAAACGGGAGTTTACTTCACTATAAAAATATGTCCTTAATTATTAATTTTAGATACCTAGTTTAATAAAAAAATCTTTTGCCTTTTTCTTTAGATCTGAAGTTGTTAAAGTCAAATAAAAGACTTCGTAATTTTTCAATGCTCATAAAAAAATGTGATGATAACTTAATCCCGGTATTACGCACGTAATTCTCTTTTGTCATTAGAGAATAAATTAAAATTGTGTCTGTATGATAAATGTATAAATAAAACACGTTTAACGGGTTAAAATAATATTTTAGCTAACTTATACTATATTAGTTAAATTCATAATGAGTTAAAAAATCCCGTTAAAAGTGTTTTATTTAACTGATACATATTGTTTTATAATTATAATTCATTTGATACCTACACGTTTTTATTGATTGTAAATCAAAGCTTTGGAACTTTTGCAGAATTTTCTCAACCCATCGAGCAAGACACAACCGGTTACGTGTTTTTATAATCCACCTTGAATAGAGTGGATGGAAAAAAGTTTTGCATCCGCGATCGTGAGTTTGGTTTAGTGTTTAAGAAGATTAATTAAACCTTGAAAAAATGTATGGTTATAATATAAAGCTTTCTCTATATAACGCCTGTACTAAAGTTAACCTTAACTTTACTTTAAGCTAATATTATTGTTTAAAAATGGTTTTTATATTTTCCATGTATTATTAGCGTTATATTCTATTACGTACTTATAAAGTTAATTTATTATAATTTGTAAGATACCATTAGATATACGTTGTATGATAATCGAATAAAATATTTTATATAGATATAATATTATTTTTCTTTAAATAAATCGTTCCGATCCTCGGCTTAACTATCAAACTTAAGCAAATTGTTACTTTTTTTACCGAAATAAAAAAATTTATGTTCTCAATTCGATTCGTTTATATAAGAAATACGGGATATTTCTTCGTTTTGATCGAAAATGGGTTTTTAATGAATGCGGTTATCCTCTAACCGTCAAAATGTTTTTTTATGTTTGTTCACGCATAACTACGTAATTTATAAACCGATTTTGATGATTCTTTTTTTGTTTGTATCCAAGTTGTTTTACAATTATGTTATTAAAATAGTAAGTGTATACGACTTTATAATTGCATTATGGAAAATTTTATTTAATTATTTCTATTTAACCAAACAAAATATGTACAACTTTGTACATTTTTTCTTTTTAATTTACTGTTTCAAGAATATGTAGATAAACAAAATTACCCACGGATCAAACAGTGTGAAATCCTGTTTACCCTCGTGGGGCATGGGGCGAACACATTTCTGTGTCTGTTTCACTGATCGGTTCTATTTACAGGCAAGTAGTTGATCAGACTTCTGTGCCCTGCCCGACCGAAACAATTTACTGTTTCCCCGGGATTCGAACCTAGGCCCTCTTGCGCTCATCGCAATGCAAGGCGACACGTTTTAGCTACAGAGGCGGTCATATCATGAATCAAACAGGAAAAACATAAAATCAATTTGTAAGATTTGCACACGAAAGAAAAAGGTTGCAAGATCACGTTGAGTACTTGAGTGTCATTTCCTCAACCGTACTTGTGTCGTATGTGTGTAACATACGAGCGATGCCCTGACCTTTAATTTCAGGGCCTTTTAGCCTTTCTCATCCGGTCATTGCTATTTTCCGATGAATGGAGATTCTATAATGATCTATGGTGCTTCATAAGCTTTTTTTATGACAGAAGAGTACTCAAATACATTCACTTGATGGAAGGCGACATGCTCAATCTATTCTGGGGTTCAAAATTCAGACGTTGTTATTATTGCAACACGAATAAAAATGTTATAAAATATTAAAGGTTGCTTTACCAATTAATAAAACCAACCAGGTGTTTTTTTTGTATAAACCTGTGAATATCTAAAATATAAATTTCTACTAGGACAGTATTTATGTGCGGATTACACTAAAACGGCTGAAGAGATTTTAATGAAATTTCGTATATATATTATACATTCGTAATATCTGAGAATAAGTTTTTTGCTTATTTCTCAAACACACATAATTATTTTTTTTTTCAATCAAATGTTATCTAGAAAAAATTTACATTTTTTTCTTACTTTGGCGTTAGAGACATCCTCCATCTTTAGTTCACGGCTGCTGCAAGGCATCCGGAACGTCAAGCCGTAGTGAAAAATAATTTAAAACTCAAAAAAGTTTAACTAAAATATGTCGCGTTTTAAACCGTTAAAGTGTTTTATTTAAATAATTTACATTACCAAAAAACGATTGATGATTAAAAAAAAAAATATTGATTTTTTTTACTTAAACTTGCGGATGAAATATAAAGTCAAATTAATTAACGTGACTTTTTTATTATAGTAAAAAAAAACTCAAAAACTAAGTATAAAAGCATTTTTTCCTTCGATGAAAAATTACAACATAGTAACTTGGCGCTTGCCGACAAAAAAAGACTGGTTTGTGGAAGTGTGTCTTAATTTCGATCTAGGAATAATTCTGTATATGAAGGTTCATAATCAAATTGACCCTACGAGTTCAAAGTCCTTTATTACTATTCAAGGCATTAAATACAATGCAAGTCCTC